GCAGCATTGGATGGTGTCAGGTCTCTAATACTGCCTGGTAATGATGACGGCGGGGCCCTGCGTGCAACGACGGGGCCGCCCTCCCCCACTCATCCCCCACGCCCCTCCCTCTCCCCATGCAAGCTCTCTGCAGGCCACAGCTCCCCAGCAGATATCCACAGAGTCAGCCCACCCACTCAAAGTTCCCACATCCCATCCTGCCAGGTGGGGCTATGGGGCAGAAACATGACCCCTCCCCCGGGCCCAGATGTATCCCAGCACTCCTTCTTGGCCCCCCAGAAGGAAAGCTGTCCTGCAGCTGCACTGAGCAACCCCCCACCCAGGCTGATCCTGGATTAGGACGCTCAGGTATCTGGGCTCTGCCCACAGTCCCCAAGCAGGTGCTGCCACCACACCTGGCAGGTGTGGACTGAGCAGGCGACAACAAAGCGTTCTGGAGGGCAAAGGCAGCCTGGGCCCCGGGGTCGCCCCGGGGTGGGAGGGCCACCTTGCAGACTGGCAGCAGCTCCAGCCCCAGGTCTCCTTGCTCTGCAGGGAGGCCTCCCCACACAGGGATCCTCACCCACTTCCATCTGAACCCTGCCTACCCAGGGGTGGACCCCAGAAGTCTGTCCCTGTCCTCGGGCCGAGGCGCACCTGGGCCTCTGTGGGCATCTTACCGGACAGTGCTGGATTTCTTGGCTTGACTCTAACACTGTCTGGTAACGATGTTCAAAGGTGACCCACTGCCTGCCCACCAGGAAGCAGCCCGAGGACACCCCGTCCTGAGCTCTTGGCCTCCACAGATGGGCCAAGGCCCAGGGCTGGCTCAGGGATGGGCCGACAGGCCTGTCTCAGCACCACAGCCCAATCCACCTGCAAGTGGGCACCCCTTTGCTGTCCCACTGGGCCCAGGCTGGGGGCCCCGATTCTCCCTCTGAGCAGAGTTCTCAGAGTGCTCTGATACCTGGGAGAGACAGGAGGATTAGGACTCCAGGGCTGGAGAGGACCACCAGTCCTGTCCAAGACACCAGTATCATCCTGGGGGCCTGGCCCACACCCCACCCTGCCTGCCTTGCCCAGTGCGCATGCTATGGCTAGGCTGAGGGCTTTCAGCACAAACAGATGTTGGGACGGGGTCAGCAGCCACATCAGGAAATGTATTTTCTGGCTGGTATGGAGCTGGCAGCAGGCAGCACGCCCTCCTTCCCTTCTCAGCCCCTCCTGCCCACCGTGCAGGGTCAGACATCCCATTGTGGGTCCTAGGGCACCCTGGCCGGCTCTCTGGGAGCTAGCCCGGCCCTTAGAAGCCCCAGCCAAGCAGGGCCAGCCAAGGGCAGTGACCTCTCTCACATCAGGACTGTTACCCTACAAAGGGGAACTCACTCCCTTGGTCAGCTGGGGATGCAGGAAGGACAAAGGTGTGGCGGGTGCCCCGGCCCAAACCCACAGGCAGAATGTAGTAGACAGGCTGTGCTGTTTCCCAACGAGGACAGAGTCTCCCTCTCCCCCCACCAGCCCCCACGGTGTTGCAGTTGAGAATGAGAACATTGTCCAAAATCAGTGAGGCCGGGATGGCCTTTGTTTTATCTTTTTGATCTGAAGCCAGGACGCCGGTCTCCAGGCCTGCCCAGCTGACTTGCACAGGGGCGGCCCTTCTGGGCCCCAGGAACCCCACCCTGCACTGGGTCCCAGCTGGCCTCTTGGGAGGGAGGAGGGGTCTGTCCCTGGCCTCACTGTTACTCATTAACCAGCCAAGAACCATTCAGGAACCTGGTGAGGGTGCCACAGTGAGCATACTCAGAGTCAAGTGCAGGGAAACCAGATCGCCGCTCCCCAGCTACACCCACAGACACATGCACCTAGAGGCTGCTGGGGCTGCTGGGGTTTGGGTCTGTGGGAAAGGCCTCTTCAGGGCAGCCCCAGGCAACACAGGTCCTGGGAGGCTCCAGCCAGACACCAGGGGATAGCGGCTCCTGGGGACCGCTCTGCAACTCAGGAGGGTTGGGGGTCTCACGAGGTCTCACTGCTTCCTCAGGGTGCTGCAGGATGGGCAGCGCACTCCTGTCCTGGAAGTGCCACCGCCTGGAGGCCGCTCGCACCACAGCCTGCTGATGGGCGTCTTACCAGACACGGTTAGATCTGGGTTCTGGTGTCTAATACTGTCTGGTAATGCCGTTCATCCATGGCCTGACCACCGCCGAGGAGGAGCCCCTGCGGGGACACCAGGGGGAGGACGAGGCCTGTGGGCCCGCTCGTGGCTGAGCCAGGCGGTGTACACCTGCCCAGGCCCGGGGCCCCTGTGTCCCCTGCAGGGCACAGGTCAGGCAGGGTCCTCCCCAGCCGCTGTGACCCAAGCCATGACCCAGACCAGGGAGCCCTTCCCAGGCTTTGGCCTTTCTGTCATAGCCATGACGGATTCTCTGCATAATAAAGGGTGTGAGGTATGGAGGTGGCTGACTTCTCTTCTTCTCAGGTGTGTGGGTGAGTGGGGCTGCGGGGGCCCAGCGGCCCCACCCTGAGGGTCTGCCAGCAGGTGAGGCAGACACCCTGCTGTGCTGTCTTCGGCACTGCCCTGAAGCCAGAAACCAGCTCAGGGGCATACATAGTCAGTCACTCCCTGGAGCCCCGCCTAGAGCCCTCTCCAGGGAAGTGACCTCACCGCTTACCCCTCTACACACCTGAGCCCAGCAGAGGGGGGCCTGAGGACAACGAGACCAAAGCAGCCCCAGATCCTCAAACTTCCAACCCAGGGCAAGGCAGGGCACATGCAGGGCCAGCCGCACACCCATGTTCTGCCCCTCGCCCCAGGCAGCACCAGGACACTGCAGACTGCTGGCGCAGAGACCCCCTGGATAAGACCCTACCCCTCCGCCTAGAGCAAGAAGCTTGGGGAAAGGGTGAGATGGGTAGTGGAGGGGGTGCGGGCCACCTTTGCTTCTTCTACAGCCTTAGCCCAGGGCCCCACCTGGTCCCCACAGGCCCATCTCCAGAGCTTAGGGAGCACCCTCCGGGTGCCAGACCATCACCATGGGGGTCGAAGGGCAGGCAGCCCTTAATCTTGGGCTCCCACCCTGAAGCCCCCTCCCTGCTCCCCTCTCCTCTACCCACTGGGTACTCATGCACATGTCCCCTGTCTAAAGTAATCCTCAAACCAAACTTCTGGATGCTAATCCATCCTCAGCCTCAGGGCTGACCCCCAAAGCCCCTTCCTTCCCTTAAGAATTCCAATTAGGTCCTAGGGTCTATGTCTGGCCCAAGTGCTTGGCAGCCAGAGTCAAGGAGGAGGGGACCTCTGGGGACTCTGGGGAAGCTCCTCCCCACCTTCCCTCCTTCCATTACCAAATCTCTCCTGAGAACCTTTTGCAGATTAGCACAATCTTGCATACTGTGGGGAAGAGGACGTGCCTGAGAAGGAGGGGCAATGGTGATGAGGCTGGGGGGCAGGACCTGTCAACTAGGAGGGCTGCCTGGGCAGTCAAGAAGGTGGTGCTTGGGTGGGGAGTGGGGCTACAGTGGCCCAGGAAGGCCTCTAGGAGCAGATGTCCAAGGGGGCCATGCAGACACCTGCAGGAGCCAAGCAGAAGTTCCAGAGGCCAGGGGCTGCACGCCATCAGACAGGAGGACTTCCAGGCCGTGTCCAGGTGGCACAGCCTGGTCCCAGCAAAGGCACCAACTACACAACCAGGCAGGAGGTGGCTGGGCCGTTCCCTGCACCCCCAGCCCTGCAGGAAGGGCTCGGCCCCCAGCCTGGAGGCCCTGGGCTGCCCACTTGCCCCATGGCAAGTTAATGATTCCCCTGCCTCGCTCCAGGGTGCAGATGCGGGGTGACGTGCCCAGCCCCAGGCCATTACCATCATGAGAAAGGCTGGGGCGGCGCCCACACCATCCAGTTGGACAGGTTATGAGGCAGGGTTTTAGAGTTCAAGATCTTGTGTCGGCAAAGGCTGGGGACCCAGGGTGGTGGGCTGGCCCAGCCTGGGTGCCTCCAAGGGGCCTGGGCCCCCAGAGTTGATATGGGGAGGGAGCACAGATTCTGGAGGGGGTTCTGTGCTCAGGCCACCGAGAAGACCAGGGGCCCCACTCCCCATACCCACCACTGCCCCAGCAGGCCCAGGCTGGGGGCTTGGCTGGATGAGCTCTCTGACATCCAGGCTGATGTACGGCCACCTCAGGGCAGAGAGTCAGAGACCATAGTCCAGCAGGACGGACCCCTGGAGCCCCCAGCACCGGCACAAACAGGCAAGGAGCCTGGGGGTGCATCAGCCTCTGTGTGGGGTCAGAGAGGCCTCGCCATTGTGGGGGTCATCCACAGGACCTCAAAAGGAGCAGTTTAAGGGATAAGTTTGTCTCCTGGGGTCATGTGACCAATAACCTCAGATGCGGGGCTTAAAATCACAGAAATATATTCTCTCACAGTCCAGGAGGTACAAGTCAGAGATGCAGGTGGGGGCGGGGGGGCACTCTCTCCCATCTCTAGGGGACACCCCCTCTTGCCCTTCCAGCCTCCCCGGGCTGTGGCCACGCCAGGCCCTGCTCCCGTCTTCACGTGGTTTCTCCCAGGTCTCCTCTCTCTTTCTCCCTCTTGTGAGGATGTAGGGCCTCCAGCTAATCCAGGAGGATCTCCCTTCAAGATCCTTGACCACATCAGCAAATACCCTTTTTCCAAGTAAGGTCACATCTGCAGGTTCTGGAGCTTCAGACATGGGCTCATTTGGGGGACACCCTCCAGCCCCACAAGTTAGGGTACCATAGGCAGACACAGCCTTGAGACCCACAGGACACTCTGAGGGCAATGAGGCTGTGTGACCGGAGGGCAGACACTACACAGGAGAGGCTGTAGTGACAGGAGATGAAAGAGCACAGGGTCAGGTCCTGGGGTCCTACCATGGATTTGGGGGTCTTCAGAAGGCTCCAGGGTGCTTCTGTGGAGGACCCAAGGCCCAGGTGGGGACCGTGCACACCATGGCTCTGGCTCCGGCCAAGCCCCATCCTCCCTCCCTCCCACAGCCCCCTGCCCAGCTCCCCTCAGAGCCTGGCCTCCTGCGCCTGCCCTGCTCCCCTCACCTCTGGGCCACAGGGTTGCTGTTGCCCAGAGACTGTTGCCAGGCCACCACTGTTGTTTCCCCGGCAGAGGACTCACACCACTTTGCTGGGCAGGTAAGAGGGAGAGGTGGGCCACCAGCGCGAGTCCTTGCTGGGCATGAGGGCCATGGCCACCGTCCTGTGCACCCTCTCCACCGGACACCCCGTGGGTTTTCTCAGGACTCTGCCCAGGAGCAGAAGGGAGATGAAGGAGGGTCAGGAGAGGGGCGTCCTGACTGAGATGAGCCCCCTCTGTGGGCAACCCACACCCCCAGAGCCGCTGCATGAGGATCATGAGCCCTCGGGCCAGGCTGAGAGGGGTGCACCTTCTGGGGGTGGCAGCTCCTCAGGACGAGCCCCCTTGCCCAGAACTAGGTCTGTCTTCCCGGACCAGCCCCACACAGGCCGCCCTCCCAGAGAGTCCACCCCCAGCCAGGAGGCCCCAGCCCACCCAACAGTGTCAGCACCTCCCAGCACCCATGACAGCACTCGTGTCTCTGAGGAGAAGACGCAGGCAGGACCCTGACATCTCCTTTGCTTGGACATGTTCTGCAGGTTCACCAAGGTCTTCCTTTCATCACACCAGGGTGCTGCTTCCTGCCGGTCTTTTTACCTCACCAGGTAAAAAGTTTATTTCAAAATTTACTGTAGAGTCGAGCTGTCCCCTGCCCCCAGCAGTGCAGTCCCTGCTTCCACAGCCCTGTCTTGTCTGGTGGCCATCCTTCACCCGTGGGATCAACGCATGCCCTCAATGTCTCTGAGCACAAAGCTTTGTCTCTGTATTTAGAATTATGTCCTTCAGAGAAACCCTGAAAAGTGCAAGCGCTAAGGCAGAAGGCTTGCAGAGCCGGGAGGTCTGACACCCGCACCACATGCCCACCTGTCACTCCACCGGCCTTGTGCAGACACCACAATGCACCGCCTGCGTGCCCACCCACAGTCCCTTTTTCTGCCCTTAATCTCTGTTAACTTCAATGACAAGAAACAATAACTCATGGCTTACTTCTCTGTGAAAGTAATAAACCTAGGTTTTCCCACTAGCAGCAGAGCACTCCTATGAAGGCTTTCGTAAGCTGAGATGGAGCAAAGCAAAAAGCCAAGTGCCATTAATTTTTTTTAATTTTTTATTTATTTATGATAGTTACAGAGAGAGAGAGGCAGAGACACAGGCAGAGGGAGAAGCAGGCTCCATGCACCGGGAGCCTGACGTGGGATTCGATCCCGGGTCTCCAGGATCGCGCCCTGGGCCAAAGGCAGGCGCCAAACCACTGCGCCACCCAGGGATCCCAAAGTGCCATTAATTTATATGGAAAAAAAATCTTAGCATCCCCAGACCCTAAAATAACTTCTCTTAGGCTTTTCTGAAACCTTAGGATGCGTCTTGCTAGTGGATGCAAAACCCAAATCGAGAGAAGCCCAGAGGGCTGGACACAGGATGTGGGTGTGCCCCAGGAAGGAATGGGCAGGCCCAGCCGGCTGCTCACTGGCCCTAGAGGACTTGTGGAAATAGGAACACACCATTTCCCCTTTTCACCTTTCTTTTTTTTTTTAATTTTTTAAATTTATTTATGATAGTCACAGAGAGAGAGAGAGAGGCAGAGACACAGGCAGAGGGAGAAGCAGGCTCCATGCACTGGGAGCCCGATGTGGGATTCGATCCCGGGTCTCCAGGATCGTGCCCTGGACCAAAGGCAGGCGCCAAACCGCTGCGCCACCCAGGGATCCCCCTTTTCACCTTTCTTTGTAAAAGCAGGTCCTAACGTAGGTCTTCCCTAAAAGTGAAGAGGTATAACCAGGGCCTTCAGACGTCCACATAAAGTCAGGGAAGCCAGCTCAGGTGCAGCCCCATTTCTGCTGTGCTCACATATCCGTCAGCTTTGGACGGTGGAGGATAGGCTCACTCCACTGCACGCAGTCTGCTCTGTCCAGAGCTCACCATCACCCTGTTCTACACCTGCTGTCTTCCTGCCCTTCATGAGTCATGCCCAAATGCCCCGGCAAGCCCTCGTTGACATGTGGCCATCCTCACAGCTGCCCCGGTTAGGCTGTGGCCACTGCCGGCCTGCATTACAGATGAACAAAGTGAGGCCCAGATGCACTGGCCGGGCTGCCCGGGAACTGGCCCAGGTGCTCTGACATGCAGCCCCCTAGCCCCTCCACCTCTCGGGGCTCCTGCCAGTCCGGCGCCTGCAGATGCCAGTTTAGCTCCATTTTCATCCTGCTGCCATCTCTTCGTTCTTCCTGCGCTCTCTCCCAGAACTTCCGACCGTTCCATTGCGTTTTCCATCTCCACGAGCCCTCTCACCCCTGTCCCTTTGTTGTGCCCGCAGCCAACCCCCTTTCAGGAAGCCAGTCTCGGGGATCCCTGGGTGGCGCAGTGGTTTGGCACCTGCCTTTGGCCCAGGGCGCGATCCTGGAGACCCGGGATCGAATCCCACGTCGGGCTCCCGGTGCATGGAGCCTGCTTCTCCCTCTGCCTGTGTCTCTGCCTCTCTCTCTCTCTCTCTCTGTGACTATCATAAATAAATAAATAAAAAAAAAAAAAAGGAAGCCAGTCTCCTCTTCACCACCTAGCACCTTCCAAGGGTAGGCTCCCTTGGGTCCCGTGTCTCCCACTATCTGTGTGCGTGACCGTGTGTGGGGCTCTCACACCTGTGAGGGCCTCTGTCAGATGCGTGTTGACTTTGGGGCCACTCACCCATGAGTGCTGAGGGATGATACTGAAGATTAGTATGTTGGGTGGGGGTTCCTATGCCCCCAGCAGGACTCCTGGGACTTGCTGCTGGGTTCTGGGCACCTTGCGGAGGGGGCCAGGGTCTTCCACCCCGTGTGGAGATGGCACCCACAGGCATTCTCCCTGCTTTCAGCAGGCTTGTGACCCCCCAGCCATGCCGGGCCGGGGCCAGTGCCCACATTTAGCCTCCTCCAAGGAAACCTCTCATTCTGCGTAGGCCAAGACTGAGGCAAGGGATTTGGGGTTATCCACAATCACTCTGCCCACCCTCAGCCACCAGCCCAGCTCCCATAGTCAGGATGACAGCTCTTCACACTTTATCCCTCTTCTGTCCTACATGGGGATTGACTAGCCTGCTTCTTGGCTGACCAGCTGGTTTGCCTGCAAAATGATCGTCCTTTCTGAGGGACGCCTCTCTGTTGGCACCTGCTTTGTCTTGCCGACTCCACAGTGTGCTTGCCTTTCTCCCCCTTCCGTGTTTTCAATGCTTTAGAAAGTCCCCACCTCCCAAGCAGCCCCCAAATTGGGAGGGGCCCATTAATAAATGGCTAAAATTCCCTGAAATGTTCCCAAGTTGGCCGCATGGGAAAGGGTGCTCAGAAGGGGACATGGCCATTGGAGCAGGGCCCGGAGCAGCAGTGAGGATGATCTGGACACCTGACTGCCAGGCCTCATGTTGCAGAGCCACCTCAGCTCTGGGGAGGCACCCCACCTAGGGCCAGCACACCCCTCCAGGCCCCCAGAGACCTGACAGCAGCCCTCCTTACAGCCGGCACCACCGAGGCCAAGCATGGCAAAGCCAGACAGACGGTCCCTGCAGAGAAAGCCTCGCCTGGGATAAACAGGATGTACAGATGGCCCTGCCTCCACAGGGCACCAGGCCCCACAGTCACCACAGAGACAGGAGCCAGCCACAAGCTGAAGCCCACGTCCAGGACGCCAGGAGGCACTCCTCCCCAGGGCTAGGACCACAGATGGCCCAGAGGCCCCACAGACGGGTTGGGGTGGTGTCCTCCCAGAGGTGCCCTTGCCCCGGGGTTCCCATGCCTGCAGCCCGCAGCCATAGCCACTTCATCCACCATCGGGGGCCACCCACTCGGACCCATGTCAGTGGGAAGAGAGGCAAGCGGTCCAGGATGGCAGGGGTCCGGCGCCCCCGAGGGCCAGGTGAATGCAGCTCCCAGCTTGGCTCCACCCCCATCCTCTAGCCAGTGCCTCGCTGGGGCAGGCATTCCATCCCCAAGGAAAGCAGTCCCATGGGCAGACCACATATAGCCATTCTCTGGGCGAGCAGCCAGAAGAAGGCCATGCACTGGGTATGAGGTCCAGGCCAGCTGAGCAGGGCAGAGGGCAGCACGGCTGGGGTCTGAACAGGCACAGGGAGGGAGCACAGCTGCCCCCCATAGTCTGGGGGTACCACCCTGATGGGCGGCCATAGCAGGCACGGCCCCTGCCTGCCCCAGAACCCAGCCTCTGTCCAGGACAGGCCTGGCCCCATTTCCCTTGCCTGATGTGGGTCATCCATGACATCATGATAGACATTGTGACCCTCCTGAGCACATCCCAGCACTATGTCTCCTCCCAGCTCCAGCCTCACACCCTAGCCCTCCCCTGCATGGAGTCCCTGCCCTGTTGGTAAGCAGGGACCCTGCCCACTCCAAGTCTGGCCCTAAATGGTGATGACTGCCTGCTGGCCAAGATAGGTTCAGGCCCACTGGTCAGGACTCAGCCTAGGCTGAAATGAGCCCAGATGACTGGGGGAACTGCCCAGAGGCTGCTAGAAACAGGCAGGATGGCCAGATTCAGGATGGGCACCTCCCCCAGCACCCCCCCTCGGACCCCACCCTGTTCACAGGCTGGGCCCATGAGAGACCAATGGGGAGCATCCAAGAGGAGCAGCTCCTGCACTCGCTGAGCCAGCTGGGACAAGATGCAGGTGGGCTTGGGGCAGGGCTAAGGGACAGGAGAGCCTCCAGCCAGGCCAGAGCCTCTGACCGCAACCCCTCCCACCTGGCCACAGACCTCCTGGATGACACTGATGTTGCCAGGCCTTGGACCACTCTCCTGGAGAGACACCTGTTGGAGGGGGAGAAGCAGCCACACAGCACTGGGCAGGGGCCCTACTTCTACATCGGAGGGACCAATGGGGTCTCCATGTGAGTGGGGGGTGTTGGGGAGTCAGGCTCAAGGCCCAGCCCAGCCTCCACATCCCCACCCCCAGCATGCTTACCCACTCCCAGGTCCCTGAGACCCCCAGGGTCACCGCTGCCCCCGTGCTCCTGCAGAATCAGCTCCTACTGCAAGAGCAAGGGCTGGCAGCGCATCCAGGACAGCCGGCGAGAGGACTATAAGCTGAAGTGGTGTGAGGTCAAGTGCAGAGACAACTACTACAGCTTCCGGGAAGGTAGCAGGGGAGGGGCCACGGGCTCTGGCCTGCAGCCAGCAAAATCCTCCTGGTCCTGAGCCAGGGTCAAAGGGATGCCATTGTCTTCCATTCTGGGAGGTGGAGGCCATGGTGGGAGGCTGTGGTGACCTGGGCAGCCCTGGCCCACAGCGCTGCATGCCAGCCAGGACTTTGCCGTATCAGGTGAGCAGCTGCTGTACCAGATTCCGAACAACAAGCTCCTCACCACCAAGATCGGGCTGCTCAGTGCCCTGAGGGAATACTCAAGGGTTGTGAACAAGATCCACAAGACATCACTATGTGCCCAGGCCAAGTAAGCCTGCCTTCGTCCCCCAGGGCACCCACCATCAACCCACCACATATCCCTGTGTCCTTCAGAGCAATAGTACGTTGTCCACATACCCTGTCCCATGAACCCATTCACTGCCCTCTTCTAGGCTCCATACCCATCCCATCCAACATGTCCGTCACTGGTCCTGACCCTCCCTGGAATCCATCCACTCACCGTTCTGTCTCCTTGCCTGCCATCCACTGCATCTACCTACCTCCATGGACCACAGTGATCTGTACACACACCCACTGTCGTCCACCCACCCACAACTGTTCCCCCAATCCTCCCACACCCACCACACAGTTGTGCATGAAAAACTGTCCACTCATCTGCCTCCCCCATCCACCCCCACCAGGCAGGCAGCCTACCTGCTTACCCGGCCATCCATGCATCACCTTTACCTGTATGTATCCAGCTATCCACCTTCACCCTACCCATTTCAACAACTCTAGTCTACTCCCTCCAAGCATCTATCTACCGGAACACTGGCCCATCTACCTACTTCCAAAATCCATTTATCCAACTACCCACCTATCCACATCGCCGTCTATTCACTTCAGACACCCACCAATCCATTCTCCATACACTACTAAGTAGCCACTCAAGCCAGGCCCTGTGTCCCCCTGGGGTACAGATCTAGAAAGGACACAACATTTTCCCTTGAGGAGCTCATGTGGAACAGCCCAGAACACCTCTGGCCACAGAGGTAGATGCTGAGCCATTCCGCCCTAGATGGAAGGATGGCCTGATGGTCAACGACAAGGGGTTAAGGGCACCCCTAAGACAGAGGATGAGGTGTGGACTAGGCAAGCGTGTTCAGGGACCTATGCAGACCACTCACTGCATACTGGACACCGTCCTGGCCTGGGGACACAGTTCTCAACTGTCCACTCACAGTGCCTGAGCCGGTGTGGGTTGGAGTGCACCGGTGAGGTGGGAGAGGGGCCAGGGTGTGGGTGAAGCAGCCTACAGCCTGTAGAGAGCCCAGGTTACAAGGACCCAGAAAACACTGCTCCTGGCAAGGGAACAGCAGGTGCAGACGTTGGCTTGTGGGGCAGAGGCAACCAGCTTTCCCATGGATACTGTCCCCAGTCCCCTAGTGAGGCTGGCTGGCCTAGCCTGGGAGATGGGGACAGCCGGCCCTTCGACCCTACCTCACCTCCCTGCTCCCCTAGGGTCCTGAAAATGGAAGAATTTTTCCCAGAGACCTACCGTCTGGACATCAGGGACGACAGAGAGGCTTTTTTCACCCTCTTTGATGGTGAGAGGCGGCTGGACGCCAGGCCTGCTCTGGGGAGATGGGTCCAGGGATGGACAAGGACCAGGCAGGATTAGGGCAGGGCCGGACCCTGCGAGGTCACGGGGCGTGGCCATGGAGAGGAAGGGTGGAGCCGGGTGGGCGGGGGGGGGGGAGGCGGAGCCTGGGAGGGGCGGGACCATGGCCTGGAAGGCAGCTGGAGCATGGGTGTGGTCACCCCGGGGCGTGGCCAGGGCCGTGACAGGCGTGGTCAGAGTGGGCCAAGGCTAACCTGGAGCTCATGCAGCTGTTCCTACAGAAAATCAGATATGGATCTGCAAGCCCACTGCCTCCAACCAGGGCAAAGGCATCTTTCTGCTCCGGAACCAGGAGGAGGTCGCTGCCCTGCAAGTCAAGGCCCAGAGCATCGAGGACGACCCCATCTACCGCAAGATGCCATTCAGGGCGCCTCAGGCACGGGTCGTGCAAAGGTGACATTCAGGCTGGGGCTGACCGTGTGCCCCTCTGGTGCCTGGGAGGGCTGGGGGGACCACAGGGCCCATAGAGGAGTCCTTGGTCATGGAATGGGGCTGTCAGTTGGGCCCCTGTATAGCTGGCAGAGGTGAGGGTGTCACATCTTGTCCAGGTTGCAGGAGATGCCCGCCCCGCTATACACACACACACACACAGGTTCCTGGACATGAGGCCAGCCTGGGCCCTGTCCCTCTGTCCTGCAGGAAGGCCAGAGTCTCCCCCAACCCCAGCCCAGCCAGCCCCAGCCGTCAGGCCTGGAGCCAGAGCTGATCACCCCTCCCTTGCTCCCTCTTCCAGGCAGTCCTCCCTGCCCACAGGGGCCCAGTCTGCTCCCACCCTCAGGGGATCTAGTAAAAACTGCACCTTGGGGCACCTCAGACATGTGCAGTGGGCTGAGATTCAGGGGCCAGGCCTTCCTTCCCAATTCCCTGAGCTGTTCAGGCTCAGAAATGTCCCTTCAGAGGAAAGGGCCCACAGATCACACCTGGGACAACTGGTGCTGAGGAAGTGGTCTAGGCCCAGGTGAGGGCAAGGGAATACAGACTAGGCTGGCCATGTACTCAGCCCCCATGCGTCCCCCCAGGTACATCCAGAATCCACTGCTACTGGATGGGAAGAAGTTTGATGTGCGCTCCTACCTGCTCATTGCCTGCGCCATGCCCTACATGGTCTTCTTTGGCCATGGCTACGCCCGCCTCACCCTCAGCCTTTATGACCCCCACTCCAGCGATCTCAGTGGCCACCTGACCAACCAGGTAAGGGTAGCCCATAGATGAGGGCCGTCTCTGCAGCCTGGGGACACAACCATTGCTTGGAACACAGAGGAAAGTTCAGGTATGGGCAGAAGCTCAGACCCAGAAGTGGCCCACTCTTTGATGGTGAGAGGCCGCTGGACGCCAGGCCTTCTCTGGGGAGATGGGTTCAGGGATGGACAAGGAGTGGGCACAATTAGGGCAGGACCAGGCCCTGAGAGGTCACTGTGGGGTGTGGTCATGGAGGGGAAGGGTGGAGCCAGGTGGGCCCTGGGTAGAGGTGGAGCCTGGGAAGTGCATTTGGGAGGGGTCTCCATGAGGACCTCAGCAAAGAGACCCCTGTGGGCAGAGGTTTCTATGGAAAGTTCTTAATGAGAAGGCCCCACATGGGGCCTTCCAGGAGGATCTGTGGGAGACTTGGTGGTTGAGAGGGTCACTGGAGGGTCTGGGCATCCCGGGATGGTGGTCTCCAGGTGCTGCACTCCCCTCAGTTTATGCAGAAGAAGAGCCCCCTGTACGTGCTGCTCAAAGAGGACACAGTGTGGAGCATGGACCGCCTCAACCGCCACATCAATGACAAGTTTAGGAAGACCAAGGGGCTCCCCAGAGACTGGGTCTTCACCACCTTCACGGTTTGTGTGCTCCTCCCCAACACCAGCCTGTGGGAGGGGGCTCAGGATCAAGACCCCTTATGGTCTGGGGCGGCAGGGCCACTGGACACAAGGTGCTCAGACAGTCCTGGGGGTTGTGTCTGTGCTAGTGTGTGTCAAGTGTGTCTGCATGTGAGCTTCTGAGTATGGCAGCTGGCCTCTCGAAGGAGTCTCCAGTTACCGGCCCTCCCCACTTCTTCCTTCCCTCACTCCTCCCCCCCCCACTCTTGATAATACACACAACATGAAATTCACCATTTTAAAGTGTGCAGTTCAGGAATTTTTAGTATATTCACAAAGTTGTGCCTTGATCACCACCTGGATCGTCAGAAAGGGCCACACCCATTATCAGACACTCCCCATCATCTCCCCCAATTCTGGACATTTCATAATAATGGAATCATACAACATGTGGCCTTTCCTGCATATGTCAGTACTCCATTCCTTTTTGTGACTCAGTAATATTTCATCATAGGGATGTACAATTTGTTTGTATAAACATTTGTCACCTGATGATGGACATAGGTTGCTCCCACTTTTTGTCCATTATGAGTAATGCTGCTGTGAATATTCGTGTGCAAGTTTTTGCATGAACATAGTTTCAGTTCTCTTGGGTACATAGCTAGGAATGCTACTGTGAGGTAATGTGGTAACTTATGTTTAACATTTTGAGGAACTGCCAACTGTTTTCCATAGGGGCTGCCATATTTCACATTCCCACCAGTGATGTAGAAGGGTCCAATTTCTCCATATTCTCACCAACACTTGTTTTTTTTCCCTCCCTCCCTTCTTCCCTTCCTCCCTTCCTTCTTTCCTTTTAGTCATCGACTGGGTGTGAAGTGGTATCTCATGAGGGTTTTGATTTACATTTCCCTAATGATCATCTTGGGCATCTTCTCACATGCTTATTGGCCATTTGTAAGTCTGTTTTAGAAAAATGTCTATTCAGATCATTTGTCCATTTTTCTTTGTTAGTCTATAGGAGCTTTTTACAGATTCCAGATACTAGACCCTTATCAAAAATGTGATTTGCATCATTTTCCCCATTCTGTGAGTTATCTTTTCACTTTTTTGATAATGTCCTTTTTCTTCCACAAAAGTTTTCAATTTTGAAGACACCCAATTCATCTATTTTTTCTTTGTTATTCATACCTTCAATTTCATATCTAAAAATCCATTGCCAAATCCAAAGTCATAGAGATTTGTTATCTGTGTTTTCTTCTAAAAGTATTACCATTTTAGCTCTTACAGTTAGGTCATTGCCTCATTTTGAGTTAATTTTTGCATATGGGGACTCAACTTTATTCTTTTGTGTGTGCATGTCCAGCTTTCCTGCACCACTTGTCAAAGAGACTGTCCTTGGCACATTAACGAAAATCAATTGATTAGGTATGTCTGGGTTTATTTCTATCAATTCTATCCCATTGCTGTGTGTGCCAGCACACAGTGTTTTGATAGCTCTTGCTTCATTCATTCTATGAATGTGTTGTATTACATTGACTGATTTTCCTGTATTATTCTTGCATTTCTGGCATAAATCACACTCAGAAGTGATATATTAACCTTTAAATATGCTACTGGATTTAATTTGCTAGTACTTCAATGAGTATTTTTGGTCTATACACATAAGCAGTATTGGTCTATAGCACTCTCTTGCATGTTTGTCTGGTTTGAGGTGTGTTTCTTCTGTTTTTTTGGAAAGCTTGTGAAAGGTTACTGTTAATTCTTTCAATGTTTGGAAGAATTCACCAGTGAAGCCACCTTATCCTGGGCTTTTCTTTGTGGGAAGGTTTTTTGAACGACTAATTCAACTTTTACTTGATATAAGTTATTCAGATTTTCTATTTCTTATTGGGTCAATCTTGTTACTTTGTCCATTTCTTTCCAGTTATCTAATTTGCTTGGCATACAACTGTTCATAGCATCCTGTGAACAATTATAATCATTTTTATAATTATTTTCATCTCCACATAAGGTCTTTCTTTCTTGATTTCTTGAGTCTTCATTTTCTTGGTCAATCTAGCTAAGAGTTTGTCTGTTTTGTCAATCTTTTCAATGAATCAGCTTTTGGTTTCATCTATTTTCTCCGTGGTTTTTCTATTCTCTATTTCATTTGTAGCCACTCTAATCTTTATTATTTTCTTTCCTTCTGCTTGCTTTGGATTTTCTCTTCTTTTTCTAATTTATTAGGGTTAAAAGCTAGGTTATTGATTTGAGATCTCTCTTGTTTTTTATATGTGTTTACAGCCATAAATTTCCCAAGAACTGATTTTACCGGATTGCATGAGATTTTGTATGTTCTATTTTCATTTCATTTGTTACTAAAGAGTGTGCTGTTTAATTTCCACAGAGTTGTAAATTTTCCAATTCTCCTTCTCGTTGATTTTTTTTATTTATTTATGATAGTCACACACACACACAGAGAGAGAGAGAGAGAGAGAGAGAGAGAGAGAGAGAGAGAGGCAGAGACACAGGCAGAGGGGGAAGCAGGCTCCATGCACCGGGAGCCCGCCGTGGGATTCGATCCCGGGTCTCCAGGATCGCGCCCTGGGCTGAAGGCAGTGCTAAACCGCTGAGTCACTCAGGCTGCCCTCTCTTGTTGATTTTCAAGTTCATTCCATTGTGGTCAGAGCAAATACTTGGTGTGATATGCACCCTTCCATAATCATTGAAACTTGCTGTATGTCCCAACATATTGTCTGTCCTGGAGAATAGTCAAGGTGCACTTGAGAAGAATATGCATTCTGCTATTGTGGAAGGAGTGTTCTGTAGATGTCTGTTAAGGTCTACTTGGTTTACACTGCTGTTTGAGTCTTCTCTTTCCTGTTCATCTTCAGTCTAAACGTTTTATTCAACACTGAAAGTGGGGTATTGAAGTCTCCAACTATTATTATTGAATTGTCCGTTTTGTCCTTCAATTCTGTTTTTGCTTCATGTATGTTGAGGCTCTGTTGATAGATGCACATATGTTTACAATTATTACATCTTCTGGATCTATCATTTTACAGTGTCCTTTTCTTTATTTTCTCTGATATTAGTAAAGCCATTCCAGCTCTCTTTTGATACTGTTTGCATGATATACCTCTTTCCATCGTTTCACATTTAATTATTCTTTGTTGTTGCCCTGAGGATTACCATTAAAATCTTAATTTATATCAATTTAGTTTCAATTAATACCACGTTAATATCCATAGTATTAAAAAAAAAACCCTTGTTCCTATATAGTTCTTTCCCTTCCTTTATCTGTTACCGTCACAAATTACAGCTCTATACATTGTGTGGCCATCAACATTGATTTATAATTTTTACTTTATTGAGTTGTTTTTTAAATAAAAGAAAAAAAGAATTACCAAAAATTCATTTATATATGGCTTTTAAATTTAACTATGCTCTTTATTTTTTCATGTGAATTCAATTTATCGTCTAGTGTCCTTTCATTTCAGCTTGAAAGGACCCTAAGGCAGTTCTACTAGTGATAACCTCTGGTTTTTAAAATCTAGGGATGTCTCGATTTCTGCTTCATTTCTGAAGAATAGTTTTGCCAGATATAGAATCCCTGGATAACAGCTTTTCCTTTCAGCCTCTGAATATGTCATTCTATGTCCTCTGGAATCCATGGTTTCTGATGAGAAGTTGGCTGTGTATCCTGTCAAGGATCCCTTGTGACTTATCACTTCTCTCCTGATTTCAATAGTCTGTCTTTTGAAAGTTTGTTTATGGTATAGTGGATCTCTGCGTTTATCCTAACTGGAGCTCACTGACCTTCTTGGGTGTATAGACTAATTTTTTAAAATCAAATTTGGGAAGTTTTCTACCATTATTTCTTCAACTATTCTTCCTGCCTGTGACTCTCTTCTTCTGGGACTCCCATTATCTATGTTGGTCTGCTTGATGGTGTCTTACAAGTCTCTGTAGCTTTGTTTATTTTTCTTCATTCCTTTTTTCTGTTCCTCAGACTGGATAATCTCAATTGACCTATCTTCAGACAATTCAAATCTACTATTAAGCTCCTCTAGTGAATTCCATTTTTCATTTACTATACTTCTCTCTTTTTTTTAAGATTTTATTTATATGTTCATGAGAGACAGAGAGAGGCAAAGGGAGAAGCAGGCTCCATGCAGGGGGCCCGATGTGGGACTCAATCCCAGGTCTCCAGGATCACGCCCCGGGCCGAAGGCAGGCGCTCAACTGCTGAGCCACCCAGGCTGCCCATTTTTTAAATCCAGAAATTCTTTGTAGTTTCCTTTTATAATTTCCGTCTCTTCACTGATACTCTATTTGATAAGAAATCATTCTCATATTCTTCTTTAGTTATTTTCAAGTGAGGTCTTCTGGGGGCCAGCAGAAAGCACACAACAAATAGCTACAATTCTTTGCAAATCAAGTACATTCTGTCATCTCCAGTACTGAGAATGTAGACTTTTTTCAAGTCTAGCACTGAGCTAGGAAGTAGGGGATAAAATTATGTCAAGTTAAAATGCTACAAAGCTTGCTCTTCTTACCAAGATTCAAGATTTTTCTCTTTTTAAAGATTTTATTTAGTTGACAGAGAGCATAAGCAGGGCAAGTGGAAGACGGAAAAGCAGGCTCCCCTTTGAGCAGGGAGCCCAATGTGGGACTTGATCCCAGGAGCCTGGGATCACAAGCCAAGCCAAAGGCAGACACTTAACCAACTGAGCCACCCAGGCACCCCAAGATTTTTCTTTTGTAAGCACTACTCAGTTTGTTGTAAGCCTTTGATTAATTTCCAGAGTTCTGAAACAGTTGATTCTGATTACTTTTGCAGCTTCGTGTGTGTGTGTGTGTGTGTGTGTGTGTGTGTGTGACTTTCATGGAGTGATTTATTTCAGATGTCCTTCCTCTGCCATTTTGCTGAGCCCTTGACCCACTCCAATGAGGCTTCTTCCTAGGGTGCCACTGAAACACTCACTGAGGTCACAAGTGACCTCCATGTTGCCAAACCCAGAGGTCAGTTCCCAGGCCTCTTTGTCCCATCTGTCAGCCAATTTGGACACAACTGTTCATTCTCTGGTATTCTTTCCCTATGGCTTCCAGGACCTTGCCCACTCCCTCTTGGCCCCCTGTGCTGGCCCCCCATGTCCCAGCTACTGCTCTCTGGAGGCCTAGGGCTCTGCTCTTTATCTGCACCCATTGGTGATGAAAGTCTCTTGGCTCCACAATTAAACATCTAGCCCTGACCTCTCTCCTGAACTTGAGCCTTATATCCCAGGGCCTATCAACACCCCATCTGCAAGCTCATAAGCCTCCCAGACTCCATGGTTCTCCTTCTCTTCTCAGTTGATGGGGGACTTCATCCTTCCAGAGTCTCAGACCAAACACTTAGGGAGAACTCTGAGGCTCATAACCCATTCATAAACCAATCAGGTTAGCTCTACCTCAAAATATATTCAGAATCCAGCCCATTAGCTCTACCTGCCTAAGGTAGGTAGATAATTGCATCTTCCTCATGTCCCCTCCATTTCTCTCAGCACAGCAGCCAGTAGACTCTATTAGGGCATGAATTAGTTATGCCCCTCCCGTGGTCCACCTCCCAGCAGCTCTGATATCAGCCTTAAAGGAAGGTGGTTCCCATGCCCCCATGATGTGACTGGCACCACTTTGGACTCATTTCCTGCTGCCCCTCCAGCTTGCTCCAGCCCCAGCAGCCTCACTGTTTCCCCAATACCTTGGGCATGCTCACACTTACAGCTGTTGCTCTTCCCCAAAATTCCCCATCCCCTACCTCACAGACTTTCCATTCAGTCTTCAGTCCGATCACTATTTCCTCAATGAGACCAATACCCCATGCCCTTTTTACAACAACCACCTCAGAACCCTCCCAACACCTAACCCCGCTTCATGTTCTTCATCAGCACTTATTGCTTGATATGCTGCACAAGATATGCAGTGACTCATGTATCACATTTGTTTTCTATCTCTCCTGCTACAAGTGAGCTGCTCAAAGTTCTCTCCGTTCATATCTCCAGTACCTGCCATGAGGGAGGAGCTCCACATGTTTGCTGCAGGGATAAAACAAGAGTGAATGAGTTTCTAGCTGTGAGCCTGTAACTCAGTGTGAAAGTGTGAGCAGGTGTAGCTATGCAGGTGAGGTGAGGGCACAGGTGGGAGCACAGGTGAGGGGGCACAGGTGGGAGCGCAAGTGAGGGGTGTGGCTGTGGCTGCTCAGGCCTGGGAGGTATAATCAAGGGGTGACATCCAGTCACCCCCTCCCTGCTCCACTCACAGAAGCGGATGCAGCAGATCATGGTCCACTGCTTCCAGGCTGTCAAGGCCAAGCTCCACTGCAAGCTGGGTTACTTCGACCTCATTGGCTGTGACTTCTTGATTGATGAGAACTTCAAGGTACCGCTGAGGTTTCCTGGGGCAAGTGGGCTTTGGTAGGCAGGTGTAAGGAGGCAGGGGCCACCTGTCCATACCCAAACCCCTCAGACAAGCCCATGGGGTGGAGTCTGCAGTCAGACACACACCCCCAACCACCCCCCCAAGATCCTGCAGGCCCAGCAGGAGCCTTAGCCCCCTGAGCAAATAGGAGTGAGGCCACACAAAAGAAGTGAACTGCCTGGGATCACTAGGCCGTATGGGGGCCAGGGCCTCAGCCTCCTGTTGGCCAGGTGATGTGTGGGGACGGATGCTAACCAGTGTTGGGCCAGGTGTGGCTGCTGGAGATGAACTCCAACCCTGCTCTGCACACCAACTGTGAAGTCCTGAAGGAGGTGATTCCAGGCGTGATCGTGGAGACCCTGGGTGAGGCCCTTGTGCAGCCCCTACAAACCTCCAGCAGGCAGTTTGCCCAGCCTTGGATGTGCCATCCCACTCTCTCCCCAAATTCAGGTGCCCACAAGCTTAGCTCTCCAATGCCCTCGGGCCCCACAGAAGAAAGGCACCCCTGCTGGACCTCCCCACTACCCTGGTGCCTACCGCACCTGATCTCCACCCGCTCCCTCACCTCCTCTGCGTGCAGAACCTCCACCCCAGCCCCGAACTGTGACGCCCCTCCCCCGTCCCCTCCAACAATGCCCCCACTCGCCCCCTCCCCCAGACCTGGCATTGGAGACCTTCCAGAAGAGCCTGCGCAACCAGAAGATGCTGCCTCTGCTCTCACAGCGCCGCTTCGTGCTCCTGCACAACGGTGAGACGGACCTGTGGCCGCGCCTGGGGGGCTCCCGCAGCGCCCTCCGGCCCCCGCCGCCCCCGCCGCCCCGGGCCGCGTGCGAGGCCGACTGCTCGGCGCCACCTCCGACCCGCGCCGCCGACAGGCCGGGCGCTCGCAGGCCCGCGCTGCCCCGGAGCCCCGGCGGCGCGCACGGGCCGCCCCACTCGGGGCAGAGGCCCCGGGCACCCGGCCTGGGCCCGAACGGCGCCCAGAGCGGGGACCCGGAGCCTGAGCCCTGCGCGCGGCTGGTGGAGGAGGAGCGCGAGGAGCGCAGGAGCGCGGGCCACCGCGGCTCCTAGCGCCGGGCCACCAGCGCCCCCTCGGGACCTATAAAGGCTACTTTGTTAGAGACGGGCCTCTGCGCCGATGGATGGCCCCAGGCGCTCCCGCGGGGGCTCCCCTGGACCCAGCGTCCTGCCCTCTGTCCTCGGGGGAGGGGACTGCTGGAGGTGATGAGCTCCCCACAGCCGCCGCCTCTGCCCTCATGGGGCTGCCTCTGTCCGGGAGAGTCAGCAGTTCCAGGGCTCCTCCAGACCACCCCGTGTCCCTCACTTACCAGGACCCTTCTGCAGCCCCACAACTCCCGCGATCCCTGCTGCCTGACTCTGTGATCCCCAGGAGAGGGTCTGGATGCCCATGGAGGGGAGAACTCGCTCACACCCACAGAGGCTGCCCCTGGGGCTGCCCTCACCCCTCAGGGCATCGCCCCTCTCAGAGGCCTGCATAGCACTTGGGCTCTGCTCCCCACTGCCGTCACTGCCCCTAACTTTCCCAAAGGCCAGACACTGAGGCCTGGAGGACCTAGGCCATGGGTGAGGGGACGTGGCCATGGCAGCACAGCCCTGAAGAACGAGCTCAACCAGCACTGGCCCTACCCTGGCCAGTCCCTGCATGGCTTCAGGTGTCCCCATTCCCTCTGGGCCCAGCCCTAAGGCCACAGGGAGATGCAGGGCCTCTGACGCGTCTAAGCCTCCTGCCATCACTGTGTCCAGGGCCAGTCATAATGCCTTCTCCACCTCTGCCCCCCAGCCACCACCCCACCTCCTGGCCAGCTTGCAGAACTCCTCCTCATTTGCTCCCTTTCTTTCCCCTGCCCTCACCTCTCCAAATGGTTTCCCCAGCTCACAAATGCCCTCCTTCTGACCGGCTGGAACCCATTCTCTGTCCTGCCTCGGAGTGCTGGTGGGACCTGGGGTCAACAGAGGTCTGCTGTCCAGAAGGGGGGGTGGGGGTGGGGCGGAAGGCAGAAGTCACAGTACCACTAGAGGGCACTGTGCACCGCGCGGTTGCTCAGGCCAGGCAGCAGGCCTGGGGCCAGGGACTCCCCTGTCCATCATTCACAAACGGCCCACCCCACCCCTGTTGTACCCCCCACTCCACCCCACCCCCCATTTCCTCCACCCCCCACCCCCCCACACACATGATCTTGCTGCTGTGGCCTGGAATATGGGTCCCCAAACCAAAGTCAAGAAGCACTTGTCACCATGTGCCTGGGGACCCTAGATCCCCTCCCAGCACATCTGGTGATCAATCCTCACCGCTGGCCAAGCTCATCCATTGCCTGCTGTGCAGCTGTGTCTGTTGGCTCTGCCCTCTAAAGGCTGGGGAAGGAAGAAAACTAGCCTCCTTTGGGGTGGGGGTGCAGTGGCTATCTGGGCCAAGCTGAGTACACCCAGGTCTTTGTAAGATACACGCACCTTTGGGGTCAGGGCTATGTGCCCTGCTAGCATCCAGACTACTACACATTTCCTGATATGCTCCCCCCCCACACACCCAGTCTTCTGTACTTTACCCTTTCTGGACACCCCATCCACCCTGCAAACCCCTGCCTACAGGTCCTCTGCCCTCCACATTATCTCGCAGTTCTTGATGTGGCCCATTGGCGCTTTCCCAGAGCGTTCCAGCTCTCCTCCCTGCCACAGTGAGGCTGTTCACCTGGCCATGCAGAGCTCACAGAGTGGCCTGAGGCCTCCATGACACACTTCCTTTTCCTGCTGCCTCCATAATCCCTGGCCCTAAGTGGGTGCAATGTGAAGAGAAGTGCACCTTAGCAGAACAGCTTGCCTTGTCCTAACTGAGCCTCCTCCTGGGGCTCCCCCAAAGGCCTATTTGTTGCTCTGGGGTCCCTGGCACCCCCTGAGAGCCCAAGTGTCAATAAATGAAGTTTCCCAAGAATCACTGCTGTTGGGCAGCCCAGGTGGCTCAGCAGTTTAGCACCGCCTTCAGCCCAGGGTGTGATCCTGGAGACCCAGGATCGAGTCCCAGTTCGGGCTCCCTGCATGGAGCCTGCTTCTCCCTCTGCCTACGTCTCTGAGCCTGCCTCTCTCCCTCTTTCTCCCTCTCTCCGTCTCTGTGTCTCTCATGAATAAATAAAATCTTTAAAAAAAAAAAGAATCACTGCTGTTCAAACACCCAGAGGTGATGGCTACACCCCTGCCCCCCAAATGCCCACTCTCTGGGCCCCACTCAGCTCACACTTGGCCCTGAAGTGCCCTTTCCAGCCAGAACTGTAAGGACTACCAGGGAGAAAAAGGCCAGATACGGAGTTTGGGGTGCCGTGTACCTTCAAACACCTGGAGGTACGAGGTGGATCCCAGGATTCAAATGACACAGATGGGCAGCAGACACAGAAGAAGGGCTCAGGACGCCTTCAGGGGCTCGAGGAGCCTGCCCCAGCAGCATGGGAGGGACAGCTTCCCTAGTGCCTCAGACAGGGCTGCCAGCACCACTGCTGGAGTTTGCAATTCAAGGTGAATACAGGCTCCTGGAAGCTGTCTCCCCCACCCCCCTCACCCACACTCCCTCCTTGCCTCTCCCCTTTTCCCCCTCCAAGGCTGAGTCCTAGGGTCCTACGATAGGTGGGGAACTCAAGCAGTGCCTTCTGCGCTCACCAGGGCACCACCCAGGGACCCCCATCATTGCTGCATCCATCCGGGGGACTGCCCGGCACAGGCCCCACCTTGGCACCCACTGGGGCTTCCTTCAGCCTCTGGTGGACACAGTGCTGGGTCTGCTGAGCACCTTCTAGCAGCCACAGGTCTGATTCAGATAAAGGTCCCAAGGAGCCCCAAGGACTCAGAGGACCTTCCCCTGCGCCCCCCGAAGCCCATCTCCTGTGGAATGTGTGTCTGAGAAAGGGGTCTGGAGCAGCACTGCCCCGAATCAGCATCTCTGGAAAGCATCTCAACTCCAGAAGCTTCCTGGAAACAAGAGACACGCGGGGGTGGAGGTGACTCTATCTCCACCCCCAGCACAGCCACAGGGGCCACAGGGGTAACCCCTCCAGGAGCCTCAGACTTCAGCCCCACTGGAGGAAGAGTGTTTGCTCCTGAATGTTCAGGAAACCACGAGGTGCAGGCGGTGGCCATGAGTGATGGCTGCACATCCTGTCAAAGCCGCAGCATGGCCAGGCCTGGCATCATGAACCTAAATTATCAACGTGCCTGGGGGCAGCCAGGCACCACCTGCCTCCGGACAGCTCCCTGCAGCTGTGGCAGGGCTGGGGCTGAGAGGGGCCAGTGTCCAGTTCCATCTCAGATGGGTCCCTACCCCTCTGTCCAGCCGAGGGTGACCCACACTGGCCGGGTCCAGATCTCAGTAAAGGAAGAGGCAGGGGCCTTTTCCAGTAAGTGGAGGGGTGAGGAGCAGGGGGCGGCTGTGGCAGGAAGCACTTCTGAGAACCACGGCGGCCTTCGGGCCCTTATCTAAGGTTTAACTAGACACCGTGGACTCCCCGCCGGGGCGGAGGAGCTGCGGTTTTCCAGAACAGCTGGAGAGCTGTTCCGTGGAGTGGGGGTTTCCAGAGGAAGCAGTCAGGTGCCTAGAGCTGGCGGGGCAGGGTCTCAGGGGGGGGTCTCTGTTAGGGCTCAGTGAGCCAGGAGGTCAGGCGGCCTGTCAGGCTCTGCTGCTGGACATGCACCTGCCTCCATGCCGGGGAGCTGGGCTGAGTAGGAGGGCACAGGAGCCCCTACAGCCCCTTATGCCAGGTCCACCCCTCGGCCCACCCTGCCCCGGGCATTGCCCCCTCCAACACCCACCCACCCACACTTCTGTCCCCTAGACCTTGGGTCTGGTCAGTCCTCTCCCATCTAAAACCCCTAGTGGTACCTCTGCACAGCCATGCTCTGGGTTCTCCTCCTGACTCTACAGCCCCTGTGCCCCAAGCTGGGATGAGGGAATGGGGGCATCTCTGTGAGGTGCTGTGGCGGAGGGACAGAGAGAAGGGGACCGATCCAGCCCTCCCCAAAACCCTGAGATCCTCAGGGCCAGACCCCTCCTGCCCAGCCCCCCTGAATCTAGCCTCCTCCCCATTCTCCACCTGGGCCTTGGAATCTCCCACCCTGCTCTGTGCCGCCCCCATGCTGACGTCAGGCTGCTACCACCCCACATGGGACACCCCCCACCCGGGGAGTTTCCATGCTGAGTCAGCTGACAGAGAGGTCCCTTGGGACTTGGGTGTGTACAGGCCAGAGTCGTTTCTCAGGAAGGTCTGTGAGTGCAGATGACCTGCCTCCTCTCCCCAACCACCACTGAGGACAGCTGAGCCATTGCTGGGGAACCCTTTGCCCTGGGGCAGCCTGAGCCAGCCGCTATAGAAGGTCCTAGGCAGCGGTGAGCATCCCATGTGCCCCATCCATGGGAGTGAGACTGTCAAGTGACATAGGTGACAAGAGCAAGCCCAGAGGAGAGCTGGCTTCCCAAAGCAGGGTGGGTAAGGGGTGGGCAGGGCAGGAAACCTGGCCTGGAGACCCAAGAGTGGCCAGGGGTGTGGCTGGCAGGTCCCAGAGAAGTTTGCTGGGGGCTCTCCTAGAATGCACTTCACTGGCTTTGCCAGTGCTGTCTTCCACTGTCCCCTGACATCCAGCCATGGATGAGCCCAGGATCCAGCAGGCATGGAGAGGATAAGGGCTTCCAGTATGAGTAAAATCATAAAGCAGTTGTCCACACCCCACCCTTCAGGGGTAGAAGCGGGCTGCGCCATGCTGAGGTGGGGTGGGGACACAGGTGATGCCCTAGACACGATGCTTCCAGAGCTCTTCACCACCTCCTTGATGCCTTTCAGGACAATGAGTCAGGGGACGTTTCTGGGCAGCTACAGGCAGGAGAGGGGCGTGGGGGTTGTTGGAGCACTGACAGGGCAGGTGGCTGGGTGTGCTGCCACCCGCAGGGTGCTGCTGCCGAGACCAGCCTCCAGGGGCCTACCTTCCACACCCGGGACCGCTGTGTCAAGGATTTTTTTTTATCAAAGTCTCCAGGTGCGGGAAGACACTGCTCAGTTCCCATGAGTGGGAGCCTAGAACATGCCCCAAGGGACAAGGGTCTGGGGAAGTGGTGGAGGGAGGCAAGCAGTGAGACTTGGAGAAAGGGTGCGGGCCAAAGGCAGGCTACTGGGAGGTCACCCTCCAGACCACGACGTGTTGGGCATAGACCTCGTCTGGGACTTGGGGGTGAATGACACAAGGACAGGCCCCCTGCAGGAGCCAGTAGGCTGTGTGAGCAGCCTAGGACCCAGAGTCCGGAGCAGAAGCAGGCCAGAGACCAGACACAGAATCTAATGGTCCCAGTGTGCTGAGCAGATTGCCAGAGGAGGGGTTTCCAAAGAGCCGTGAAAAGGCACACAGGACAAGTATCCATCATGGTGCCCTTCCTCCAAGAAGCCTTCCAAGTCCCATGGTCCCTGCTAAGTGCTTGTGCCCAGGAAGAGAATGGCCCTGAGAGATGCCCCACCCCCAGCCCCGCCTAGGCTGGAAGCAGATGAGGTGGGGGGAGAGGGGCTTCTAGTCAGGGAGGCCTTGTCTCCCTGTCCCCCGACCCCAGAACACATCCACTTGGGTCGCTACACAAGTGTTTATTGAGCGCTGCCGGCAGCCAGGTCCAGCACTGGGCACAGCCTCCTGTCCTGGGAGCCGGGGGCCCCAGACAGCCGGGGGCCAGCAAGGGAGGGAGGCAGCCATGGCTGTGTCTGTATCTCCTGTGGGGTCTGGCACAGATGCTGCCTCTTCTGCACGGTCTGAGGGACGGGTCACGGTCACCACCCCCCACCCACTTCCGCCATCGAGGGGAGCAGGGCCAAGCCCAGAGCTGAGGCCCCATGGCAGGGTACAGAGCCCTGGCTCCCAAGGGTCCACCCAGGGTGCTTCCTGGGTGGGCACAGCTCCGAGTCTGCAGCAGCAGAGGACAGCCAGGCCTCACACCCACAGGTCCCTTAGCTGGCCTTTGTCTGGCGACAGCTGCTCCCCCCGCTCTTCCTCAGGGAACTGGCAGCTGCAGGTGTCCTCTGCTGGCGGCCGTGCCTCCAGGAGCAGCTGGGTCTCTGCAGAGCACCTTCAGTCAGCAGGCAGCCCAAGGACCCACCCCTCCCACCCCTGGGGACCACTGACCTGGCGGCCACCTACGATGCCCCCTCAGCTGCCAGATGTGCAGGACAAGCTGGGTCCCACTCAGGACCAGGATGCAGGCGGCCACGGTGAGGAGCACGATGGTCAGTGGATCATGCGGCTCGGTGGGCGGCAGCCCTGGGCTGCAGACAGCATTGTGTGTCTTGTTCCCAGGGAACGTGGTAGGATACCCAAACTGGGAGCAGCTGGGACACATGGACACAGAGCCCTCCATCAGCCCATGGCCACCGGAGCAACCCCTCCGCACGCTGCTGTCCTCTGACTTGTGCAAGGGTCACCGTGCCAGGAAGGATCAGAGAGGCCCCTCCCTCAGGAACTGCCCGGCCACCCGAAGGCCCTGCCAGGACTCACTCTGACCAGGGTTTACAGCGACCCTCTTGGCCTCCAGAGAAGGTCCCTGCGGCACAGTCGACACACTCAAAGCCAAAATTGAAATTCCCTAGAGACAGACAGACAGCCAAGGTTTGTTGGGGCGGATGAGATGGGATCCATCTGGGGCCTGAGTCCACAGCAGAATGACTCCAACACACCTCATCCACTAGACCGAGGTCTCTGATGCCTGCAAGACCCAGACCTGGCATAAATCATGTATGCCCCATTCCAGGCAGGCATCTGAGGGGGAAGCAGACTTGGGGAGACCCCAGGGCTGTGACCCTGAGCTGAGTGGAGGTCCCTGGGGGATCTGGGGATGGAGAGCTGTGTGGCACATGGCCAGAGGGAGGTGGAGGGGCCTGTCCCCTGGAAGGCTGGAGGGTGAGGGAGCCCAGAGGGGGTGGGGGTGGAAACCAGGCAAAGACCCAGGCCAGGCCTCATGCTTGGTCCAGTAGCCCGGAGGGCAAGAGGTCAGTGAGGGTCCCAGAGAGACAAGGTGAGGCTTGTGCCCCAGCTGCCCCTAGATCCTGACCTATCCAACATCACAACACTGCTCAAGTGACACTATGCTCTTCCCATCAGCCAAATAAGCCCCAAGAGGATTTGAGCTGCTCCTTCTAGGACACACTTGACCACCAGACAGGGCAACAGGGGGCAGGCCTAGTTTTGTCAGATCATCATGCAGATGCTTAAGGTACGTGGAGGACTGGGGGCCTGGTCAGAGCCAGGGCCTAAGGGCTAGACAGCCCTGGACACCCCACTACTCCCCACAACCAGCCCTGAAGAATACCCTAACTCTGGAGAGAGAAAGCCAGGCTAGGACAGGGAAGGACTTCCCAGAACTGCATGGGTGCTGGGACTCATATTTAGGCTGAAGCAATAAACAGCAGAGATGCCAGTGCCTGCCTGCCCAGAGGACATGAATGTATCTTCCACCCCCACATGGCACTCGATACACACCCACTCCCATGAGCTCTGGCTCGGCCCTGGTCTAACCCACTGTCCTGCTCAGGCCACAGCTACCAGTGACTTACCATGAGGCCGTACCTCCTGGCCAGGGGGGCAAGTGTGGTGCTTGCAGGTCTTGCACTGGGGGTCTCCACAGTGGAACCCTGGCTGGACACATGTGCAGTCCAGCTCAGGACAAACCTTCTCAGCTGAGCAAGAGAAAATCCAGCCCTCTCAGCAGCTGGGCCAAGCCCCTCCCTCCTCAGGGCTCTCCCAGGGGCCCTCCAGGGGGGATGGGATGATAAAGGGAAGGGCAGTCTCCCCACCCTCAGACCCACATTTGGTCCAGCTGTCTGCCTCCTTGGCATCCAGCTCCTCCACCCATGTGGCCTGGCTGTGTCCCTCAACCTCTGAAGCTGCTCCCACCTAGGGGGAGTGACCAGAACACATCTCTACTGGACAAGGGGTCCCCTGAGGGACCTACTCCCTCTCCTTCTTGCATGGCCCCCAGCTGCCATGACCCTCAGGGCAGGCTGCCTGCCTCTGCCAGCCTCACTGAGACTTGGGACCCTCAGAGCCTCCCTTCTCTACCCCCAGGCTCTGGCAGGCTGGCACTCTGGGGTGTCTTCCTTGCAATATTTGTCCCCAAACTTGCTCTCTCCCACAGAGCTAGGGCCGGGGCAGGGAGTGTGCTGCCACCCTGACCTGGGCAGACAGTGGTGGCCTTTACCCTCAGCTGGAGCTGGGACAGCCTTCCTGCGCGGAGGACCCAACACTCGCCTTGGTGAGGGCTCTCACACCGCAGCCCCTCCTCAGAGGTCCTCCCTGCGCCCGCCCCCTTACCCCTTCCCCGGTTCCCCGGCCCTTACCCGCCTCACCCGGGGCGCACGGGCGACAGCAGCGCGCATCTGTCCCTGCTCCGCGCAGGAGGCGGCCTGGGCCGCAGCTCGGAGCCCCGGGGCGGCCCAGGCCCAGCGCGCAGAGCAGCACGACGCCCCACAGCCCCGCGCGCCGCGCCCCCATGGCCCCCGCGGCCCAGCGAGCTGGGAGATTTGAGGGGCCGGCCCACCACGCCCCATCCGGCGCGCCCCGCCCCGCCCCGCCCCGCCACGAGGGCCTCTCCCCGTGCGGAGTGAAAGAAAGGGAACACGCCGGCCCGCAGCTAGCGGCTCACAGGGGGCGGGTAGCGACACCGCTCTGCGTGACCAGAGGGGCTGGCAACAGGTCCTTACCGCTTTGTCTGAGCAGCAGGACTCCCTGTTACACGCCAGGCACCCCAGGACCCCGGGCGTCGGAGCCGACGATGGGGGCAGGAGCACCAGGGAAATCTGCAGCTGCCGCGCAATTTTAGTGTGAACCCAAAACTGCTCTAAATAATTTTAAAAATTGAAAAAATGATTTAAGTCAACTGAGCCCGGCTGTATCTCAGGGAGGTGGGGTCTCTTGGCAGGCTGCAGAGCACCATCACGGAGGGAGGGAGGCCTCCAGGAGACTTATGTGCAGCGAGCAAGCAGAAAGAGGGTGACCTTTGGGGTTCCTAAGTGTCCTTGCACTTTGGTCCAGGAATTCCTACCTAGAATTTAAATATGCCCCTGAATGTGTATGTGGGAGGGGGGACACAGAGCAGCCTGCCTCCCCAGCCTGCCCCCCCCCCCAGCTAGGTCTGGGGCAACACTCCAAGGGGGAGGATCAGAAACCTGTTCTAGTCAAACCTGTGGATCTGTCCGGTCTGAAGGGACAGACACCAGCAGAAATGGTGGGAGCTAGATGCTAAGCGTCAGCATGCTGAGGTGGGAAGTGCCCACAGGGGAGCTAGTGCAGGGACTGCTCCCTCACTGTGCCTGGCTGGGTCCCCTAGCTTCCTCAGGAGGGCCTCACAGGCTTTTAAAGATCTCCACCTCCCTAGTCAGCTAGCCCCCATCAACAGGCATCATGGCCCTACCTGATGAGGCTCAGCACAGAGCCCCACACCCAGAGGCCTCCCCACTTTCCAGGGATTGAGACAAGCCCCTCACTTGGCCATCAAGGTCTAACTGGGCTCCAGGTGCACATGAAGCCCCAGCACACACACCTCTGTAGCTGTCCAGATGCACTGCTCACAGCTTAGAGCCCCGGGGGGCCCCATCACATCTCCCAACCCAAGGACCTCCTCAGATCTTAGGAGAGGTCTGGGCATTGATGGAACCTCTAGTAACTGGAAGCTCTGGGCCAGAGGTGGCTTGCTTAGGCCCCTGCTCTCACTGCTGGGCCAGGTCCCACTCAGACCTCTCCAAACAGATCTGCTCCTCCTGGAGGGTGGGGAGGGCCAGCCCCCGACTGAGCTCTCCAACCAGAGAATTCAGCCTACAGTTCACCATGAGCTTTGGCTTCTTCATGTGACACGGAGGGCCTCTGGATCCCTGTCTTCTCCGGGAAGCCTCCCTGGAGCCAGGGTCTTAGGAGCGTGACCGTGGTGATGCCCCGGGGCTGCAGGTGTGCTCATGCCCTCTGAGACCTGTGTCTGTACCTGGTCTCATGGGCAGCTGTCCCTTCTCCGAGGGGAATGACAGGACTTAGTTCTCCAAGTCCCAGGATGCACAACTCCTCTGCAGGGGGCAAACCGGGTCCTACAGGGGAAGGAGGGGGCTCTTGGGTGGGCTCAGTAGAGCCCTGAGATCTCCCTTCAGCTTCTAGACACGGACCTGTGTCCAAGCGCTGGGACAAGAGGGACAGCTGGTAAAGGTGCTCTAAGCACAGAACCAATAGTTCTGGACCTTCTTCTACTGCTCAGTTCAAAGACCAAGGGGACAGGTCTGTGGCAGTGCAGGGTCACCCCAACTCTGGTAAGCGGGCAGTGTACCGTGGCCCAGGAAAATGGGATCAATACCCAACAAATGATGCTTGTCAGACTGTGCATGTGCCAGCTGGCTCTTCTGGAAGCAGGGATAGAGAAACTTCTGGAAGTAGTTTGTTTTTGTGGAGGGGTGAAGGTGGGCTGGGCAGGAGGAGCTCTGTGCAGAAAATGTTCCCTGGGGAGCCTGGGGGCGAGCAGGAGAGGAAGGTTCTTCAGTGGCTGCCACCTACAGCCACACAGAAATCAAAGGGCCCAGGTTACGTGCCCACAGAGATGGTGGCTGACGAGCAGGGCCCCTCAAAAGGCAGGAGTGACGTCTGCGAAATGTCAGTGCCTGCGTGTGCTTTCTGGTCCCAGCCTCTCCGGAAGCCGCCCCCCCAGCCCTAGCCACAGGCTGCGTGGACGAGTGGAGCCTGCAGAACTGGGCAGCGCGGGAGAGATGATCTCTATCTGTGTTTTCCAGCCCTCTGTGAGCGGCTCACCGCATGTTTGCATCATCACTTGTCCCAGCTTACAGGAGTCACTTCTGTTCCGTTAACAGAAGGTCCTTCAGTAACCAGAAGGGGGTGGGATCTGACTGTGGGGACACGGAGGGGGCTTCTGGGGCTTGTGTGAAATCACAGCTCAACACCCAGGCCTGGGGTCAGGCGGGGGACGGGGATCAGGTGGGGGTTGGGGGTCAGGCAGGGCTGAGGTGGAGAGGGTCTGTGGGTTTTCAGCAGCCGGGCAGGGGGTGAGGGGTTGGACAGTGTGCTGAGGGTTGGTGTAGAAGCACAGAGAAGGCAACTCTGTCCATGTTTCCACCCTATGGCAGGGATGGCGCAGCCAGGCAGGGGAGGGTATGGGCAGGAAACCCCGGGCCCCAGGACCTGACCTCTCCCCTGCCCCCACCCTGACTCCTCCACAGGTCCCATTGCACTTCCCCACAGCCCAGGTGCTGTCCTGGGCACCACTGCCCCCACATCAAGGGTGCGGGTTTGCTGCCTGTGTTGAGGGCACGGCTTCCACTCTTCTGTTCACCGCCGAGTCCCACACCAGAGTACTGTGGGAAGCCAGTGTCAGTGGGGTATGGAACAGCTCTGTCCTCTCTCCGCATGTTCAGGCGGGGACCAGAGGGGTCAGAGGTTTGAAGACAAGTTGGACAGGCCTCTGGGGCGACCTTGAGGAGACAGATGGCCCCAAAGATAAGGAGGGCTGGTGGCCAGGGCTGAGGCTCTGCCAGAGTCAAGGCCAGCATTTAGCACTGGCCGCAGCCCCTCTGCCTTAAAGGACATCTACAATCTGGTCTGGTACCCATTAGGAGGGGCGCCATGGTCGTGGAAGACAAGCCATGGGCAGCGGGATTTTCCTGCTTGATGTCTCACAGAAAGCTGCTGTGCTCCAAACAGGCTCAGTTTCCCAAAGTGGTGATGCCCAACTTTTGCCACTTACTATCTGCAACACACTCGCAGGTCTGGCAGGCCTTGAGGTTTGAAAGGCCTCAAGAAACAAGGAATGGCTCTTGAGCTCTGTGCTCTGGGGGAACACAGAGACCTGAAGGGTTGCCCTCAAATGTCCCCTTTGGGGCTGGGGTCTCAGGTCTCTCCTACCTGCTCCCACTAGAGCCAGAGTAGTGGGCTTCCTGGTGCCCTGGGCCTGCTCACCCAGGTGCAGGGTATCCGAGCAGCAGTTCCTAGATCCACCCAATAAGCGGCTGGGTGGTCTAGCCACCCCCAGGACACCGCAGGTGCCGGGACATGCCCAGAGAAAGGGTAAGCCCCTACCCCACACCCCTGCCTCAGTGGGAGATCCGTCTTCTGCCAGAGTGGGCACAGCTCAGCTCTCCCACCATGGGCGTGCAGCCACCTCCCCACCGGCACCCAGTCAGAGACCCACATTTGCCCATGTCATTTATTGGGGGGCGCACCACCCTGGGCAGGGAGTATGCACAGCATACGTAGCAGAGCCCTGGATGCCAGCCCAGGAGCACCTAAAACGGCGCAGGGTGGGGTGGCAGGGTGACAGGGCACCCAGGTGACAGGATGTGCTGGCCAGTGCCTGGGGGCACCCACAATGCCCCTAAACATCCAGCAGACCCTCTGGGCCCCCAGTCTGGGGTGGGAGCACTGGCTGCTTAGATCTTGGCCAGGGTGGAGTTGGCGTCGGCATGCTCCTCTTGGATGGGGGTCCGGAAGCTATTTCCACCTGGGGAAGAGGAAAGAGCAGGAGGTGGCAGGTGGGTTAATGTCTCAGCCTTTTGGGAGGCAGTCTGGGCGGGGGTCACGGTGTATACTCACCGGGGGGCAGCCGCCAGGCTCTGTGGTGCAGGAGCAAGGCCAGTGCGGCTGCCACGGGGGCCAGCAAGCCTAGGCCCAAGCCCAGGACAGCAGCCAGCTGGGGGCCTGTGGGGAGGCGGGGCCTGCTGGATGGGGCCCCTGGAGGAGGGTGTCCACCCCAGGGTGGCCTCTTGAGGAGGGCAAGGGGGCAGAGGCCATTCCCAACACTTCCCTCCCTTCCTCACCCCCTTCCCTCTTGAGTCAGCAGAGGTTGCTGCTGGGGTGAAGCCAACCCCCTCTTACCCCTGGGGGGCTCCGTAGGGGGTGTGAAGGGCCCCTGCGAGGTCCTGGGCCAGGCCGTAGTGGGCTGGGGGGTAGGGGGCTGGGTCAGGGGGCTCTGGGTCTCCCATGGCAGTGTGGCGGGGAGGCTCCTGTCCTCACAGACAGCATCCGAGCTCTTGCTGGCCGGCTGCATTGTACGCCTTCCCATCAAGGTACAGCTGAGGAAGGCAGGGGTGTGGGTCAAGCTAGAGCCCACCCCCCACCCCACCGACTCCTCCCAGATTGACCAGATAGGCCCAGAACTAGGACAGGTGGGGACTGAACAGGTGGGGAGTGATGGGAGACCCACACGGGATCAGCTGAGGCAGCATCAGACTCCCACCCAGGGAACCACACCCAGTCCCCCTTTCCACGGGTTCCCCACCCCGTCCCCTCCTACCCACCCACCACTGACTCTTCTCTTCCTGCCTCTGCCCATGGAGGCCCTAGGTCTGGATGAGTGGGGGTCTCACAGCCTCCTCACTCCAACCCAGCTGCCAGGCTGGTGGGTGGGGGCTGGCAGGGCTAAGCAGGGAGACAGCAGGGTGGGGCCAGGGGTCATGAGGGGACAGGCACCAGTAGCACCCCCACCAGCCAGCCCGCAGGTCACTCACTTGGTCCAGGGCTTGCAGGCCTGGTCATCCCCTGGGGAGAAGTGTCCGGGTGGGCATGGGGCACAGTCTGCAACAAGGCAGCAGGACCATCTCAGCCCGTCCATGGCCACGTCGGGGACCCAGACACCATGGCTGCTGGGACTGGTACATGAGGCTAGGCGCTCACCCTCCAGGGCCGCCAGACCCTCCTCCCTGCCCACAGTCCACCCACTGACCCTAACCCAGGTGCCTCCCCCCACCCCATTCTTGGCATAACCTATTTGCTAGGGAAGGACCTTGGTCTGACAGGGCAGTGGGGGTGGCATGCAGTGGAAGTGATAGCATGTAATGTGGGAGACAGGCCTCCTTAATGGCTCCGGGCCCCCGAGGCCCCCTGGCCCCTCCAGGTCCCCCCTGCAGGCCCACAGAGCCCAACCTCTCATGCACATGCTGCCCACCCCGTGGGGCTCACCGACTCCACGCTTGTAGCCGTCCCGGGGCTCTGTGCCTGGCTTACAGCTACAGATGGTGTCCTGTGTGGGTGTGCATCTCCTCTTGGGTTCACTCCCACTTCCTGGGGGGTGTCAGGAACAGTTGGTGGGGCACCCAGGGTGGTAGGTGGGCCCCCAGACCAGTGGCCCCGTCCCCAGTCTCTGGATGCCACACTCCTTCTGGCCACAGGCTCCTGGAATGCCTCCCCATCCTCGTGGCTGTTCCAGCCGCCCTTCCTGCCTCCTCTGAGGCCCATGGCAGGACCCTGGGTGGAGGGGTGTGGGGGAGGGCCACCTGGCAGGCATGTGCTCCTCCCTGACCCCAAGTGGTGTCAGCCCCCCTGGTGGGAGGGGGTACTCCTAGCGGGCCTCTGTGGTGCAGCTGGCCCTGCTGTGGTTTGGGGCTTGTTTCTATGGCTGGGGGGCCCCATGTAAGTGCTGGGCGGAGCGACAGGGCCCCCTGCCCCTCCCCAAGGGCAGAGGGCCAGGGATCCGGGCTGGGGCTGGGTGGCACTCACTCTGATTGCACTGAGTGCAGGGCTTGCAGGGTTCGTAATTTGTAGCCTCATTGTAGAAGCCAGACGGACACTGATGACATTTGGTGTCCTGGTTGCCACTGCAGCGGCTCTCCATTCCATAACCTGCACGAGATGTGACTCAGACTTAGCCTGGCCCTGGCCCTGGCCCTGGCCCTGGCCCTGGCCCTGGCCCCGGTCCTGGCAGCCTCCTCCTCAGCCTCCGGCTGGCCCACTGTCCCAAGCCCTATGGCAGGTCACCCAGTCCATCAGCCCAAGTCCACTAGTGCATGACACTTGTGTCCCAGGACACCATCAGCACGTCCCCCACTCCCCATCCTCCGTTCCTGTGTCTCCACCCACCCCCATGTCGCGTGTCCCTGCCCTCTGTCCCCGTGTCTCTACCCCTATGACCCCCAACCCCATGTCTCAGTTCCCCATGCCATCCTCCCCATGGGCACCGCTCTCCAATTCTGTGGCCAGGCCACTCACCTGGTGGGCAGTCCTTGCAGCACTTGCCGTCTTTGGGGTAGGTGTTCCCGATACAGATGTGCTGAGCTACGGCACCCAGCACAAGCCCCAGGAGCAGGAGGGCTGAGTGAGGACCGCTGAGCCGCAGGGACTCCACGAACATCCTCATCTCTGCCAGCGGTACAGGAGTCTGGGGTTTTTCCTTGCAGGATGTGGCTATAAGGGCTGCGGAGGAGGGGTGGGGAGGGTGGGAGGAGGAGGGGACCAGAAGGAAGGAGACCCAGGAAGGGCTGGCGACCCCTGGCCTGGGCTGGTGGCAGGAAGGCACCTTGTCTGGGCAGCCCCCCCCCAGGCTAGGGGCTCCCGTCCCGCCCTGGGCCCCAGGGCCCTCATCCCCCCGACGACACCCACTGAGCTCAGGCTCTGCCAGCAGGCACAGCACACTAGCCAGCACACAGAACCAGGCCCAAGTGAGGACTCGCAGCCCCCAGCCCCTGCCAGGGCCACCATCTCTAGTCTGCACCCACCTCCACACTGGACCCCTCTGCCCAGCACAACCGAGCCACTAAGGGCCCCTGCACAACCCCGCTTCTTCTGGGCCCTCATTCTCCATGTACAGGGCAGGCAGACCCCTCGGGAGGAGCAGGTGGCTGCTCCTGCCATCCCCTCCCCACACATAAAAGGCTGCACAGAGCACACGGGTAAACCAAGGCAGCACACTGGGTTAGGAGACAGGCCCCTCACCATGTGGACCCTCTACTGGGCATCAGCTCACTGGTCCCAGACTCCAGAGCACGGTTGCTGGCCCAAGCATCTGAAACTAGCTCAGACCGAGGCAGTGGTCAAGGGCTGTAATGGCAGGAGGCCCACATGGTGAGCCCCTGCGTGTGGGAGCTTGTGCAGGGGTGTAGTGGTGCATGTGCGCTGCTGAGGTGCCTGAGCACAGCAGGTGTTAGGAACTAAATTGTGTCCTCAGAGTCACATGTTGAAGGCCTGACCCCCAGTGTGGCTGTTTGGAGATGGTGCCTCTAGAGTGGGGGTGATGTTCAGATGGGGTCAGCAGGGTGGGCCCTGATCCCATAGGGCTCATCCTTCTGGGAGACTTCAGGAGAGCCCACAAAGGAGGCCACATGAGGACAAGGAGGCAGCGTCTCCACCAAGCAGAGGCCCCAGGAGAAGGCAGTCCTGCCCACACTTGATCTCAGATTCCAGCCCCCAGGACTGAGAGACAGTCATCCATAGTACTCATCAGGATGGCCCAACAGACAGCTCCTGCCCTGCATCCTGGGGACAAAATATGCCTGGGAGCAAGCCTGAACCTGTATCTGTAAGGATAGGGGGTCCATCTGCACCCCCCTAGCTCCCTGGCCAGGCGGGGCCAGCAGGATGGCTGTGTCCCCTCTGGTGGCCAAGCCTGCCCCACTCTAAACCCACCCTGGGCTGAGGGTGTCTCTACAGCACCCACAAGGCAGCAAAGACTGGGACGACCCACTGGATGGTCCCACGGAGCCCTTGGCATCCTCGGACACGGATCTGGCAGTTCCAGGGCAGGTGGGGAGGCCATGCGCAAGACCACTGTGGTGTGTAAAAGGGGAAGAACACATACACATACACAAGTGCACACACATGTGCACGCGTCTTCTCTTACTCGCACTCTCTCCGATATCACTGGGTGTCCTGGGGGCAGGGGAGGCTACACAGTGTCACTTTTGTTACCTTCCAAATCATAATCTTGAGATGAAATTAAGCATTCAACAGTTAATTTAAAAAGTGTGAGGCAGAGGGCCTCCTCGGGGAGGGCAGCCTCCCGCGGGCAGAGGTAGAGGCTGGAAATCCCCTTCCCCGAGGACAGGTGAGAAAGCTCCGTCCTGGCCCACCTGGGGAAATTCCTCCCGGGCTGTGCTGGCAAGGCCTGGCCTCCTCCTCCATGGCCTCCTGTGTGGCGGCCTTGCCCCAACAGCCACCTGCCCACTGGGGAGCGGCTCCTTGGAGCCAGGGGAGGCTGAGATATCCCAGGCACCCCGACTAGGGGGCAGAGAGAGAGGGAGGCAGACTCCACCAGTGGCCAAAGGGCCACACAGGGAGGGGGTCCAGGGTCCAGGGTCAGGCAGCCTGGTGCGTGGGCATGTGCGCCCCCCTCCACAGAGGCTGAGAAACATCTATTTTTTAAACTGACAAACCGTGGCCTCTGAGGTTGAGCTAACTTGGGAGTCGGGCAGGCTGTGCTCTGCTCTAGGGTGCCTCTCCTTCTCTGGGGCCACCTGCTGGGTAGTCCCCACTGCCTGAGGCCCTGCACACTGGGCCCACATGACTGGGCATCTGTCCACTGTGACCCACACAGCACAGATGGCCAACTGTATGTCATGCACATGCTCACCCTCCACCCTGGGGTCCCAGCTGACCCCCCGGCACAGCCCACACTTCTGCTGAGCATCACACATCTACTTGCTGCCGGCTCAGCCATGTGGGCCTGGCTGCGGGGACCCCCTCCCACCACGCACTCTCGTCCTCTCTGAAGTCTTTCCTCTTGTTTGCCTGGAAACCAGCACAGGTGTCACTGCGCCTCTGTTCCTCTGCAACGGCCCCACCCCACGCTGCTCGGAAGTAGGTCCCTGTGGCAAGGGCAGGTCACAGGGACAGCTCAAGGAAGCCCCTCTGCCCACTTGGCTGGAGCCCTCGCCCGAACAGGGCCCTCTAAGCCTCAAGCAGACCCACTGGCTGGGTGAGCTATCCACTAAGGTGCCACAAAACCACAGCTCAGGGCTCCTGAGGGGATGACCAACATGGAGGTGGGGAGGGTCGGGGCAGGGACTCAAGGCAGCAGCTGGGAGGCACGTGGGGTCAGAGACCCTCAGTTAAACCCCTCACAGCTCAGTGCCCTCTGTCCCCACATGCCAGATGAACACTGGGCACACTGACCCCCACAAAGGACCTGGGAAAGCAAGCATGAGAAATCCAGGCCTGGTGGGACCCAGGCTCTTGGGACCCCAGCCCCAGCGCAGGCTCCATGAGACTCCGGCCCCCTGACAGCTCTGCTGCATCCCCCACAGCCAACCCAGGACCTCTGTGTTCTCCCCCCAGCCCCTGCTCTCAGGGTTTGTCCTCAGACCTTCCCCCTCTCCACCCCAGCTCCTCCCAGGGGGTCTCACCCAGGTTCCAGGCTCCTGATTTTGAATCCGTAGCCCAGACCCTCAGCATCCTGTGAGAGCCCTTTCCCACGTACCTATGGGCCTCCCCATCACTAAACACATCCGGGGCCTGGTCCTTCCCGCACCTGCCCTGGCAGGAGCCTGACCAAACCCTCTGTTCTCACCAAACCACCCACCTCAAAAGCAGTAAGTGGAAGCCACCTAGCCACAAACGTTCAAAATCATTTTATGGGATTTTTTTTTCAACAAAAAAATGAAGCTAGGAGAAAAAAGCAACTGTAATTTAAAGTACATTAATGAGATTCTCCTCACAAGCGTTTGTGTTTTTGGAAACTAAACATTGTGGCGGCCCCTCCCCAGCACCCCGGGAAGGGGCAGGCACCCCCAGAGGCCGGCCAAGAGCTCTCAGCAGAGCTCATTCTAATACTATGATCACTTCTTGGTCTTCAAGGAAACGGCAGGAACTGCGTTACTCCCCACAGATATGGTGAGGCTGCGGCGCCTTGATGCAGTCAGTTCTCAGAAGTGAGCCGCACAGTCCTGTGGGACTCCATGCATGGAGGGTGGCCAGCCCACAACTGCACCTCGGGGATTTGGGCCCGTTCAAGCACATCTTCAGTAAGCCTGGAGCCACAGCTGTCGGGGCCACAGGAAGGGGGGCTTTTAGGAGGCGCCAGGGGGCCGAGGTGCGCAGGGCAGGTGGCAGGTAGGGTGGGCTCAGAACTCCTCGTGCACATTCCGGGCATAGTCCATCAGTTTGCTGCCCGTGAAGAACTCGCTGTACTTGAGGACCTCCTCAGGCTCTAGGTGGTGGTTCTGGTTCTCATCGGCGATGGCGATCATCTGCTTGGCCTCGTTTAGGGCATTATACTCGTTCATGGGGTCCATGTAGTCCTACAATGGTTCCAAGCACAGGGCCACTGCAGACCCTGGCTGCCACGGCCCTGCCCAGCTGCCCACGCCCTGAGTGTCCTCTTCACTACAGCGCCGCAGGTCCACACTCAGTGATGGGCCTGAGAGCCCCCAGGACAGACACCCTGCCCCACTGGATGCTCCCTCAGGGAACCAGCATCAGGGCCTGACCTCTGACCCTAAAACCAGCACAGAGAGCCGCTCCTTATGCAAAACACCCCACTGGCTGACAGTACAGAAGCAGCAAGGACAGATGAGCATGTTCTGGAAGGCAGACACCAGGCTGGAAGTGGCTCAGGGCCAGGCAGCCTTCACCTGTGTGGGCACCCACGACTTACCACCTCCACCTTTGTCAGGACACCTAACAGAAGGGAAGGGTTAGGGATAGGGAGGAGGGAAGCCCTGCCTTGAGTGGCCACCAGGGACCTGCCCACAGATCTACATGATACCCGGACACAGGCACAGACACGGACTCAACCAGCTGCGCCCGCCAGCTATCAACAGGGATCAGAGAATTCTGGTGTAAAGTGAATGAGTCATCCAGCAACGGGGAAAAACAAGCCCACACAGCACCTACACGACACCGGCGAAAACACTTCAGGGGAAGATGGTGGATTCCAACACCGCCGGTGGCCGGTTGAATGAAGTCCCAGCATTCAGCCAGCTGCCCATTGGGGAGCGGCTCCTTGGAGCCAAGAGGACCCAAGACATCCCAAGCACCTTGACCTGGAGGCATGTACAGTACCTGACTGGGCTGCCTGCTTTTCTGCTCAAATCTCATCTGAACAACAGAGGTGACCACACTGGCAGGTGGATCCCCTCCCCCACACACAGGGAGCCCACCTCCAAGTGCCCCCACAACCAACACTGCCTTCTCATCACCATAGCCCCTGCCTCGGGCACACCTGGAAGCCTGGGGACTTGGGCCCCACCTTGGGGGTGGGAGATGCCCCCCCAAGTGCCTGCGCTCACCTCCAGTTCCGCCATGGTCACGATCCCGTCATGGTTGGCGTCGATCAATTCCTCAAACTCTTTTTTTCGGTCTCTGACCCAACTGTCATCAATGTCCTGGCCCTGCTGATTCTCTACCGTGCCCACGGGCAGAGAGATGAACTCAGGCAGTGAGAGCTGCTTGTCACCGTCCTGGTCTGTAGGATAGGGGAGGGGATGCTCGGACCTCAAGTGGGCATGGGACCACCCAGGCCCATCCAGGGGAAGTCAACCAAACAGGTTCACTGCCAAATGTTCCATGTGTTAAATTTTAGCCTAAAGCAAAACACCTGATCCGCTCAGGAGCCTAGCGGAGGCCAGATGGTACAGGACAAAGCCTGACCATCCCTTACCGCTGTGTGGCCACACAGCCTCCAAACCCCCAGGGCCACCGCTGCCAGGACGACTGGCTGCAGGTGCACCATGGACCCCGCCGTCCAGCCCAGCCACCAGCAGGGAGGTGCCAACCCCCTCAGCCTCACCACCCCCTCAGGATGGGCCACAGGCCAGGCCTTACCCAGGTCCCGGACAATCTCTTTGACCATGAACTTGAGCATGCCACGGCTGTGCTCAGGGTGCAGAAACGACAGGAATTCATCCTCCGTCAGAAGCAGGTCTGAAGGGGGGTTGTCCGCCTGATACCAGCGATCCTTCAGGTTCTCTAGGACTTCCTGTGCTGGGAAAGGCCGACCTGTGAGGACCCAGAACCCAGGACACCTGCACGCACCTGAGCAGCTCTGAGATGTGCTGCCTGGATGGGCAAGGCTGGCCCAGGACACAGTGGTGCATGAGGCCAGGGGCTCAGCACCCCAAGGAGAGCTCAGCCCTCAGGAGGCACACAGTGCAGAACCCCCCAGACAGACACAAACCCTCCCAAGATGCAGACACAGATCCCACGAGGTACAGATGCAGAGGCTCGTGACACAAACCCCCCAAATATGGGTGCCGACCCCCCAACACACACCCCCAACACACACAGGCACAGACGCCCCCCTGCAGGCCCCACCCTCAGCTACTGCTGCTGCTGTTTGCTCCTCGGGAGAAATGGAAAGCACGATGTAGGCGGACCCGCCCCCGCCACGCACCCACAGGAACAAAGCGCGACCTTATTCCCTTCTATCTCTTTCACGTGCGCGTATACGGTGGGTAGGGCTCTGGAGGAAAACCCAGCTTCCAGGTATGACTCAAGCATCCCCCACAGCCTCTCACCACAGTCCTCCTTCTCCCTCCGTGGGAGGCCTAGAGCCCAGCCTGAAGCTCCACAGGCTCCATGACTGTCCCAGTCTTCCAAGAGAGCGGCGTAGGCCAGGCAAGCAGGAAGAGTTTGGGCGTGGAGATCTGTCTGGGCCCTCACTGCCATCACCAGGAGCCAGGCCATGGCTGCATCCCACACAGCACCCGTCATCTCAAGCCCCAGCACCTTCTATGACAGAAGATCCCGTGGTGACCTACTTTTAATGGCAAATACACCTGAAGAAAGGTGGGAGTGACGACATGTTCTCGCCTGCTCTGCGTTGGGACAAGAGGCGTGGGGACAGGTACAGAGTCTGTGAGCAGCTGTAACCCCTCAAGGACCTCACCATGAGGTCACTGGGGATTTAAGGGGTGCTGAACCCAACACCACAGCAGAGGTCAGACACACAAGCAGCGATGCCAGCAGCGCCAGAGGCTGGAGAGGCCTGGCACTGACCTGGGCAGGCCCCCGTGTACCTGGGGGGGGCGGATACCTGGGGATAGCAGCCCCCCAAGCCCACGTGCATGTGCCAAGCATCCCTGAGGAGACACGCTGCCACATGGGAACTCTTGAGCCTACCTCTCAGCCCCCACCTGTGCTCCCTGGCATCCCACACCCTCAACACTGCTCCTCACTTCTGATGTCCCTCACCTGCTCATCCCCTCCAAACTAAAGAAGGAACACGTGCTGAAATGAAAGAATTGACAGGCAAGCTTAGGCAGCAGAGCCCATGTCCCTGAAGGACAGGTCCTGACCCCAGACACACCTGAGGGAAAGGCGTTGCAGACAGACCAGATCCCAAGAGCAGGCGGGACAGGGGGCCGGCTCCCTGCACCCCAGCAGCCACCCAGACGCTGGTGTCAAATCACCAACACCGGCAGGAGGACAGAGCCCTCTCCTCCCCCCAGGGCCCGTAGAGGCCTCTAAATACCCTCTTCAGGGGACAGTGGAACCCCAGGACAAACCATGGAAACAAAACAGAAACAGACATGAAAAAGGCAAACTACCATTTCAAAAAAAATAATTGGGATCCCTGGGTGGCGCAGCAGTTTAGCACCTGCCTTTGGCCCAGGGCGCAATCCTGGAGACCCGGGATTGAGTCCCACGTCGGGGTCCCGGTGCATGGAGCCTGCTTCTCCCTCTGCCTATGTCTCTGCCTCTCTCTCTCTCTCTCTGTGTGACTATCATAAATAAATAAAAATTTAAAAAAAAATCACATCCAAGGTACATGCTTTAAAAAGAACAGAAATGAAATTCTGGATGGCGCCCCAGGAATGGGGAAAGGCCAGCCAGTGTCCATGGGTGTCCAGGAGCCTCCGTGCTGCTCAGGAAAAGGATCTGGTGCTGCTTAACCTGAGGCTCTTCTAAGTTACATATGCACCACGGTCAGATGAAGCAGGAAAAACAAACGTATGAGACACATGGACAGGGTGCCTGTAACAGGCAGCCCCCACAGGACAGCCCAAAGGCTGGGGGCTCAGACACCAACAGAAAAGGGAACTACAGACCAGCGTGTCTCATGCAAACATGCCCCACAAAAGATCAGCAAATTAAACCCAAAAACATGTAAGAAGAATTATAGACCATGACCAAGTGGGACTCATCCCAGGTACACAAGGCCAGTACCATCTCAACATCTGGAAATCAATTACCGTGATCATCACATCAACAGCTGAAGAAGAAAACTTGTATGATCAGATCAACAGACAAAAAATGACACAAAATCCAACAGCCATTCATGATCCAAACTCTCAGCAAACTAGGAACAGAGGAGGATTTTCTCCAGCAAAGAACACCTACAGAAAACCTGCAGCTCACATCAGTTTAATGGGGAGAAACTTAACACTTCCTCTGAGATCAGAAAAAGGAAAAGGTGCCCCATCACCAATGCTCTCCAGCATGGTCCTGAAGTCCCAGAAAATATGGTAAGAGGAGGAGGCAGGAGGTATACAGATTGGGAAGGAGGAAACAAACTGTGTTCGCTGATGTCACTGTCACCTGTAGAGAAATCTGAGAGAACTAACTAAAGTCCTAAAACCACTAAGCAATCATAGCAAGACCGCAGGACAGAGATTAGCACAAAAAGGCCAGTCACTTCCCTGCTTGCCAGCAAGGAAGGCAAAGAATCAGGTGAAGGATGAACAGGAAAATACAAACAGAAAGAAGGCATGACTGCCACCCAACAGAGGACAGAGGGGTCTGGGCCCCTAACCACAAACACTGGCACAGACAAGAGTGCCCACAGTCCCCCTGAAGACCCAGCAGCAGGAGACAGCCACAGCCCAGGGGCCGTAGCAGCAGCAGCCCTCACAGAGCAAGGGGGGGGGGGTGGGCACATGACAAACAGGGACCAAGTCATGGGTGCAAACATGCTGCAGAGAAACTTTCAAACACACATCACCAAGAGAAGACACGATAGGACAAGGATGGGATGCTGACTCACTGCGTGGAGGAAGAACAGGACGCAACAGGCAACACGCCAAAACTCGGCAGGGGCCCCAAACGGGATGCAGTGAGGGCTGTAAGGATCCTCCCCCCACCATCACGGACCCTGTCCTGGCCCACAGACCTCCCCAGCAAAAACCTATGGGAGGCCCCCTGCTGCCCCCATGGCCTGCCCGGCAAGAGGCCTCCCTCTAGGCATGCCACAGGGCCCAGGCACTCACTCTCCTCGTCGACTTTCAGCTCCTCCCCATTCTTTATCTTCTCCGCAATTTCTCGCTCATTGTGGCCTTTGCTCACCAAAAACTTCACCTTATACTCGTCCCAAGACACATGCCCTAGAAGATAAGACCGATCCAAAATGGACAGTTTTGGGAAAAAGTATGTGATTGTTTGCAGACACCTGCCAGTATCCCCAGGCTGCAGGCAAGTACAGAAGCACTGAAGTGGCCACAGCACACCCCAAAGCCAGGCCCGTGCCCCATACCCCCATCCTCACCTGCAGGGGATGCATGAGCCAGGGGTCTGTCTTGGGGCCAGCACAATCAAGCACTACGGCCTCACCTCCTCTGCCCCTACACACTGCCCTCCCCTGGCAGCCTCCAGCCCGTGGAGTCAGGATGAGGTCACCATACCATCGCCATCAGGGTCCACAGCGTGGAAGTGCACCTTGCTCTCCTCGATGGCCTCCTGGAAGTGCTCTGCCGTTTTCTCCATGATCCAGTGCTGCATCTCCTTGGCGCTGATCTTCCGGTCAGTATTCACATCAACCCTGTGGCCAGACAAGCAACATCAGACGAGGTCTCCAGAACCCGGGACCAAAGGATGGCCAACGGGACTCCACTGCCATGAACAGGGACACATTCTACCCAATAGTGATGCCAGAAGTGTCAGGGGACACTGAGGGTGGCAGGGAAGACTGGTGGTCTACTCTGTAGCAGCAGATCAGCACCACTTCCCCAGTAGTCTGGGGGCCACTGGGGGAGGACAGACTCGGCCCTTGCTCAAGACAGGCGGCATCGCCAACCCAAATCTACACACCCAGACACATGGGACCAGAGTTATGAAGCCAAAGCAGAGTCATGTTCCGTACGGGGGTACAGATGGCTAAATGGAGAAGCAAATACAGATGCAAGTGTGCGTACATGTGTGTGCATGCATCAGCACACACTCAGTGTATGAACTGGCTCATACACACCTGTGCAGACTAGTATGTGTATGCATGTGTTAACACACCTGTTCACACACATCTAGCCCTGCCCACCAGGAGGGCCCCAAGAAGCGACCCCAGCAGTAATGCACAGAACCAGTGCCCAGATCTGGGCTTCTACACACCGTCCTGCAATAAAAGAAGCCAGGGCTCCCTGGAGAGTTGCCCCCGGAGCACCTGGTAGTGCCAGCAAGTAAGGAAGTGCCCCCAAAACAAACAAATGGAAGGGCTTCCCATCGCCAAGTGGGAATAATGCGAGCGGCAGACCAGCACAGTGCTGGATCCTACCCAAAGTGTACAACAAATGTCCCGGAGTCCCGGCTGACAGAAGGAAACGAGTGATAAGTCAACGTACGGGGAGACAGAAATGCTCCCCACAGAAATCCAAATCATACGGTAGCTCCCCTCCCCACCCCGCTGGAGGGCAACTGTCTCACTGAGTGGCTCCCAAAGAAGACAGGAGGGACAGGGAGACACTTGGCAGACACCACCTGGACCAGGTGACCAGGCCAACGTGTCCCGAACTGTCCTACAGATGCCAACTACCCACTAACGGGATGTGACAAGAGGGCCACCTCACCTCTGGGGTGTTCTTTCCCAAACCCCAACCCCACTCTCAGCACCAGAAAGCACAGCAAACAAACCCCAAATGAGGGACCCCACAACTGTGCAGTCTTCCCCCAAAACTGTCAAGGTCATGAAAGAGTAAGAGAGAGACACCACCACATCCCAGAGGGGACAGAGGACCCGTGACACTCAGCATCCCTGTCCCCTGAATGGACAGGGACGATGGGGAACAGAGTGGAACCTGAAGGCTGGAGTGTGGGCAACAGGAATAGCCCTGCTGATTCTTAGTTTTGACAAATGCACTGTGGTTACCTACAGGTCAGTATAAGGGAGAACTGGCTGTCTTTGCCACTTTTCTGTAAATCTAATATTATTCCAAGATAAAAATCTTATTTAAGAAATATTGTGGTGGGGTGCCTGAGTAGATCAGTCAATTAAGCACTCGATTCCTGATTTCGGCTTAGGTCATGATTTCAGAGTCGTGGGATCGAGCACCATGTCAGGCTCTGTGCTCAGTGGAGAGATTCTCTCCCCCACTTCCCCTCATCACCCCCAAATGCATATGTGCAGGTGTCTGTGTTCTCTTTTTTTCTAATAAATAAATAAATTTTTTTTAATGTTGTGACAGGGGACCCCTGCATGGCTCAGCGGTTTGGCACCTGCCTTCAACCCAGGGTGTGGCCCCGGAGACCCGGGATCTAGTCCCGCGTCAGGCTCCCTGCATGAAGCCTGCTTCTCCCTCTGCCTGTGTCTCTGCCTCTCTCTCTCTCTCTCTCTCTCTCTGTGTGTGTGTCTCCAATGAATGAATGAATGAATGAATGTTGTAACAGGATTACATTCATCAAAACCAGGTCCTTGGGATCCCTGGGTGGTGCAGCGGTTTAGCGCCTGCCTTTGGCCCAGGGCGCGATCCCGGAGACCCGGGATCGAATCCCACGTCGGGCTCCCAGTGCATGGAGCCTGCTTCTCCCTCTGCCTATGTCTCTGCCTCTCTCTCTCTCTCTCTCTCTCTCTCTGTGTGACTATCATAAAAATTAAAAAAATAAATAAATAAATAAAATCTTTAAAAACAAAACAAACAAACAAACAAAAAAACCAGGTCCTTGAGACCACGTATAACTTGGGCAGGGGGCCAGTGAGGCAGCAGCTGACAAAAAGCCAGACGCCAGTCTTGGGCCATGCGGCCTCTTGAAGCAGGAGTGGCCATAGATGGAAGTCAGTGTGGAAACCACAGTGGCAAGTGCTGGTGAGTAGAGTGAGGTGCTCCCCACCTGTGACCCCGCAAAATAAGTGATGCATAACAAAAATACCTCCTGTGGACAGCCACAGCCACACACCTCAGAAAGACTGAAAAGCAAGCAGCTTGCAAGGCAACCCCCATCTTCCCGCTGGCAACTCGGCTTACTGGTCCCATTTTCTCCATTTCCAGGGGATGTGTTCTTAGCATTGCTACCCCTCTGAGCAAGCGCGCACCTTTCCACCTGCAGGGCCCCTGACTCCGTGCAGAGGGCAGCAGGTGCCCAGGAAGAAGAGGCCCAGGTGAGGTCTGGCATTAAGCCTGCTCCCTGCCTGCGCACAGACATCTGCACACCTGGACCTCAGAACCCTGACAGGTGTGAGATCCAGGTGGGGCTCCAGACACACCCCCAGCCCCCACAGTCCCAGGCTCATTGCTGAATTTTTGGCTCCCTGCTCTGTGCTCCGTCATGATAGCCAGCTATGTTCCAACCAGGCAAAGAATGAACCTTCAACATTGAAAACATAAGCATGGCAGGAAAACGCCCTGCCTCCCGACTGCACCCCCTGCTCCAGTGTCAGGTGCCTGCTCCTGGCGCAGAGTCTCTGGGCAGCATCCCACCCCCTTTGGATTCTGCCCCATTGCTGTCACCTGTCCAAGAGGCCCTGCCTGGTCTCTCGAGGCCCGGCCCTCTCATGGCCCCTTCCTCCCAGAGCCCTGGGCCCCCCAACACACAAAAGTGCCAAGGGCTCTAAGGCCCAGAAGCAGCCTGGGGAGAACATGCTGTTGGCTCAACAGCTGAGTTTGAGTCTGTCTGATGGGAAGATGTTCTAACAGACACGATATTCACAGGTTTGAGGTTCCACAGGTATCTTGGGGTCCAGGGTGAAGCCACCCTCTCCCAAGGAAGCCCAGGGCAGGTCCGGGTAGATGTCCTTGCCCAGTGTTTTTAGCCCAAAGGCTACCTGCAGGCACACAGCTGGCCCGTGGCCCAGTGAGTGGTGCAGACCACCCTCGGCACACTGCCGGATGGTGGCTCCCAGTGTGGGGAGGGATGCTCCCAACAGAGTCCTGGGGAGAGGCCAGGGACCTCGACGTTAGCCAGCCAAATCATGAACAGATTACCCAGTCTGGTGTCGGTCCAGCGCCCACCTGTCTCCCACTCGGTCTCGGCCAGCCCACCATCCACAGGCCTTCCAGCCACCCCCAGCTGGTGGGATCCACCTCTCTCGCCAATACCTATCCAGGGAAACCCCATCAGGGCATCGTGGAGACACAGAACAAGCACTGCAATCTTGCTGCCTTGTGTGGGTTTGCCTCCATCTGACAAAGAAGGAGCCACCTGCTACCTGGTGGCTTGGTCCCTAGTTTTCCTCTGCTCACAGAAAACAGAAGACTTCACTCCAGATAACAGTAAAACCTGGATGCTAGACGAGGCTTTAGCACATTTCATCAATGGCAGAGTCACCAGTTCCTCCAACTCAGCCCCAGAGGGGGCTGTCCAAGGAAGCATCACCCTTTCCCCCTAGAGCCTCCTAGTTGCTCCTCCTTTCTCCTGACCTCTGAACCCCACAGGCCCTGGTCTGGCCATGGTCCTCTCTCCAGATCTCTCACCTGGTGCCCAGACTTGGCCAAGGACACACTCACACTTGCTGGATGCTCCTCCTCAACTCCACTCGGTAACTGGTATACCCGACATCTCTGCTCTGCTTGTAGGAGCCTTGCACTCGCCCCACTCTCTCACCTCCACCTGCAGCTGCTTAGTCCTCTCCCACCTACCCAGTGGTAAAACCCACCACACCCCTCAACACACCCCAGCCTCTCCCAAGTTACTGCACTACCCAACTCAGCCCTGCTGCCCTCCTATCTGTTCTCCACCTCATTTCACCCTACCCTAGGAATAAACAGCACACAGCATATGCCGAGACTTTGTTCTCCACACACCAAGGAAGCAGGGCTCTCAATGCTCCCTTCCATAGATGAGGACGCTGAGGCTGACAGGCTCAGGGAACAGAGTCCAGGTCCAACTACCAAGGGCCTCCTCCCGGGCTCATGCCCTGGCCATGAAGCCCCTCTACTCTCTTGGAGGCTCCAAAGCCACCAGGCCCTGTGCCCTCTGGACGTGTGTCCCCAGCCTGTGTGACACCTGTGTGCACTCAGAGGGGCTCCTCTCAGTCTCCTTCCTGGAACCGAGAGCCACGAATCCTGGGTCCTGGAACGTGCCTGGACCACCAGTCACCAATACCCTGGGAGCCTGGGCCCCACCAGGCCTATGCTGGGCAGGGAGTCTCCTAAGGCTCAGGCCCCCTGAGATCTGTGGGCCTGCCCAGCCCCAGCACATGGCCTGTGTGAGCTGTGGCCCAGGCCCAGGTGCCTACTTAGAAAAGATGACCATCAGCTTCCGCCTGCTCCTCCGTGGCTCTGCATCCTCCTCAAACCCATCCATGTCCTTCCCCAGGAAGACCTCCTGGTGGAAGTCCTTGTTGAGGTGTCCATCCATCTCCAGCTTCACCCCATTCAGGTGATCCGGGGGTAGGATCTCAGGCTCGTCCTTGGTGCCTGCTCTCTCCCGAGCAGATGAGTGGTTGGCAGGCCGGGCAGACACATCCATCAAAAGGATGACCCCCAAGAGCCATAGGCAGTGAGGAGCCAGGCCACAGAGGGGAGCCTGCCTGAATGCCATGGCCACCCAGGTCCGGACTGTGAGATGGCCTGCAAGTGCGGCCAGGAGCTGGGGAGAGAGGAACAGGACAGGTCATTAGTGCGGCCTGGGTCACGACCTTCCCACCACCCCAGGTACTGTGAAAGGCCAACAGCCCACAGCTACCAGACCCCGGCATGCAATTAAAAGTCCACAAAGAGGATATGGCCAATGTTCAATGGAGCATCAGCAAATATTTCACTAAAGCAGTGCTTACTTTACAACACGATATAGAAATTCTTGGTTTATGGATCTATGCTAGACATACTACTTTTTCATTTTCCAAATATGCTGGAGAAGCATCTTATCTCTCTCTCTTACTCAGATCTAAGTTGCCCCACCTCAAGGGCCACTCAGCACCACTAAACCTACCCCTTTTCAGTGCCCACAGCGGCTATTCCCAAAACAGTCTTTCTCCATCCCTCCTGGTATTGAGACTGACCCCAGAGTCATGGTAACCCACTCTCCAAATCCCAACTCAGCATTTGGGAGCTCTGTCCCTTTGGCTCAGTCACCTGACCTCCCCAGCCTCGGTTTCTACCATGAAACAGGAAGCCCCCTACCCACCCCAGTCTGAGGCACTGTGAGGACAGGGCCTGGTGCCAGCAAATGCCCAAACCACCCAGCAGGGCACCAGCCCCTCCCTACCTTCCCATCTCAATGACCTGCAGGTGTGCACACACATACGCAGCAAGTACACACTTGTACACAAACACGAGCATACACACACACACACACACACACACACACACACAGCCCTGCTCGTGTTCACACAGGACCAAGAAGACCTGTCATCCTCGGTATGCCTGGGCCTGGCAATGAGGAATCAAGGCCACTCTTCGGTCTACTTCCCCACAGTAAGGATCCCAGGGCCACAAGTACTCATTCCCAGCACTTGGCCATTCCAGCCTCCTCCCATACCTGGCTCCTTCCACTTACCTGCTTTCCCTTCCAGGCTCCTCCAGATTCCCTTCTGGAATGACCTAGAACTCCCTTCTGGCTGGCACCAGAACATGGCCCAGCTGCCTGCTCAGCGTCTAGCTCAGCTTCTCACAGACCTTCACTCTCCACACTTCCCAAAAGAACAGCAGTTCCTTCTGGCCCTTTATTTAACCTGTCCTCATAGTCTGTCCACCTGGCAAACACCTGGTGGTCCCCTCGGGCACAGCTGAGGCCCTGCCCTCCTCTGGCAGTCTTTGCAGGGAGGAGCAGCAAAGGGAAACCCAGTAGCGCCCAGGGCCCAGGGCTGGTGGCCCTGGAGGCACCCACAGCAGGCCAGGGTGCCACCTGCAGCCAAGTTGGGGCATGGCAGGAAGCACAGGACCTTCTACCTGGCCAAGCAGATGTCTATGCTGGCCAGCAGCACAGCCACCACAGCACAGCCTGAGGGCACACTGTGCAGGACACGAGCTCCACTGGCTGGTACGGCAACACGAGCAGATGCCACCACTTGCTTACTTGATGCTTCCTTTCAAATGTTCCTACTCCTGAATGGCACTATCCACCTGTCAGCTGATACCTTTATATGCTAGTCCTGTCAACCTGAGCACCACCTGGGCCCCACTCTCTGAACTTGTCTCATTCCTGTGAGGGGATAGCAGACACCCCTCTCTCCAGGTCTGGGGGGCCTGCAATGTCTTCAGAAGCACGCAGGCTGGCCGGCTGCCCCAGGGTGTTCTCTGTGACAGGACTGCCCCTGAGTCACATCCACTGGAGCGCCACACCTCCTGCCCCTCATCATCCAAGCAGCAGTCACGCTGTCCACACAGCTAAACGAACATGTACAGGAGTTTCTACCACAGTGCACACACATGTTCCTGAAAACATCCATGTTCTGCAAAAGCCACAATAAAAAACACAGGGCCTGTGGGAACAACATGGGGTACATGTCTCAAGACCAGCAGAGCCCTACATAAACAAACCCTGAGGAATCCAGTAAGTGGTGTTCACCCACTGTACCTCGCCCACTCGCTGTGGGCGAGGCACCCACAGCTCCAACCAGCAGCTTGGGATCTGGGGGATTATGCTGAGTGGAGACGCCAGCAGGGCCCAGGAGGACATGCAGCCTGTCACAAGCCTGCGGTCACTAGGGTCCGGTGCTGGCCTTCCTTTCCTGCTCCTGCCTGCTGGAAAAGTGCTGTGCACACCAAGATAACCGCCCCTGACACTAATACAGCCCTCTCTGAACAGTGGCCATAAAAACACGTATCGGGTCCAGGCAGACTGTACTTTGCTCCCGGAAAGAACAAACTCCATTCCTTCCTTATCTTCAAGGGCAGAACACTAGTTCTGCAGATAAAGTAACCTCAAAATAACCAAACGGATATCAGGAGGCCAAGTGAGACTTTGTCTTCTTCCTTCAGAGGTTCCTTAGCAGGAAAGTAGCAGCGTGGCTGAGGATGCCATCAGGTGCTGGGTTCCTCACCCTCTGCCAGCCCTGCACCCCTGACCCTCAGGCCCCCACCCCCGATCCCGACACCTGACCCCCTGACCCGGACCCCCCAACACCTGACCCCCACCCCGACCCCCTGATCCCGACACCCCAAGGCTGGGATTTCAAAGCGCAGGGAATCCCCATCCTCTAGAAGCGACATGAATAGGGAAGGCAACACCCCCCAGGGCTCCCAGCTTCGGCGGACGCGACATTTCTCGGCCGCCCTGGGGTGTCCGTTCCGGCGAACCTCAATCTCTCGCGGTTAAAAGCGCAAACGCTTCACCTAAACACCCCGTCACCGGTCTCGGGAGTCGCGTAGAGAAGGTCGGTAACAACTGACACTGGCCGACCCGGAAGCCAGGGTCTTCACACGCACAATTTCAAATCTTCACCAAGTCCCACCAGTTAGGGCAGCGAGGTCGCCTCGCCGGTAAACACCGGGGTCCCCCCGGCTCCCTTGCCAACCGGTCATCGTCAGCCTGTTTCCCGGAGGCAGCCGTCGCTGAGAGCAGAGATGACATGAGCCCAGGATCCAGCGACCCGAGGGTGCGTCCGCAGGCCTCCCGCCGCCCCCTCCCCGCCCCGGGGCCCTCACTCACCGACCTCCCTTCCCTCGCTCAGGATCCACCGAGCGGGACCCGAGCGCCCGTGACGCCTCTAACCGGACTCGCCTAGGCCGCGGCCATCTTTCTTCCGGGAAGAGGCGGACCAAGAACGGCGCGCGTGGGCACTAGCCCAGCGCGACGACGCTGGTGCCGCCATCTTTTCTCCGGGCGGAAGTGACCACGCGGCCCCTCCCAAGGGCAACCAACGAGCAGGGTGCGCGTCCCCACGTGACGGGTGGGCACGTGACCGGCAGCGCCTGGCCCTTCGCCTCCGCCGCGGGTGGAAGCGACCTGGGCGCCGGCTTCGGGTCCTCCGGGGCGCCTCTCGCGCGCGCGCGCGCGCGCGCCCGCCATGAAGCTGCTGCGGCGCGCGTGGCGGCACCGGACAGCGCTGGGCCTGGGTGGCCTGGCGCTCTGCGGCGCCGGGCTGCTCTACTTGGCCCGCTGCGCCGCGGACGGCCCCCGCCCGCCGCCCGGCCGCAGCCCCCCGCCCGCCAGGCCCGCGCGGGCCACCGCCTTCCTGGCGGTGCTGGTGGCCAGCGCGCCCCGGGCGGCGGAGCGGCGCAGCGTGGTCCGCGGCACGTGGCTGGCGGCGGGGCGGCGCGGCGGCCCGGGCGACGTGTGGGCGCGCTTCGCGGTGGGCACGGGCGGCCTGGGCGCCGAGGAGCGCCGGGCCCTGGAGCGCGAGCAGGCACGGCACGGGGACCTGCTGCTGCTGCCGGCGCTGCGCGACGCCTACGAGAACCTCACGGCCAAGGTGCTGGCCATGCTGGCCTGGCTGGACGAGCACGTGGCCTTCGAGTTCGTTCTCAAGGCCGACGACGATTCGTTCGCGCGGCTGGACGCGCTGCTGGCCGAGCTGCGAGCCCGCGAGCCCGCGCGTCGCCGCCGCCTCTACTGGGGCTTCTTCTCGGGCCGCGGCCGCGTGAAGCCCGGAGGCCGCTGGCGTGAAGCCGCCTGGCAGCTCTGTGACTACTACCTGCCCTACGCGCTGGGCGGCGGCTACGTGCTCTCGGCCGACCTGGTGCACTACCTGCGCCTCAGCCGGGAGTACCTGCGCGCCTGGCACAGCGAGGACGTGTCCCTGGGCGCCTGGCTGGCACCGGTGGACGTCCAGCGCGAGCACGACCCGCGCTTCGACACTGAGTACAAGTCCCGCGGCTGCAGCAACCAGTACCTGGTGACGCATAAGCAGAGCCTGGAGGACATGCTGGAGAAGCACCAGATGCTGACACGCGAGGGCCGCCTGTGCAAGCAGGAGGTGCAGCTGCGCCTCTCATATGTGTACGACTGGTCCGCGCCTCCGTCACAGTGCTGCCAGAGGAAGGAGGGCATCCCCTGAGCTGCCCAGCATCCGGCGCTGGAGGGAGGCCGGGACAGATGCCTCAGGCGGGGTTCTGGGCAGCAGCTGCTGAGGGGGCCTCCCACTGGCCCTACAGGTTCCCGATGGTCACCCAGGATGAGTCCAGCCCTTCGGGGGACGGGGTGTATTTGGCGACCGGTGGGGTTTTCAGGCAGATGCTGAGTGGCAGTGGACAGCTTGTAGGGCCCGGCTCCAGTGGGTGCCTGGGGCTGTGCATCCCAGTGGTCACTATAGGGCTTGCCAGGGCAGCACATAATATCCAGGGAGAGATGTCTTGTCCCTGGAGTTCAGCCAGCATGGGCCTACACTGGGAAGATGCCCACCTCTTGAGTGTAAGGGCAGGCAGAGGAGGCTGCAGCCCCTCCCCGGTCTGGGCGTGTGCTGCCTTCTCCCAGGGTAGAGGAAGGCAGCCAGAGGCTGGGTCCTCCAGGCACTTGCAGAGCCTGACCCCAAAGAAAGAATCCAGACTTGTTCAGGGGTGGGCACTAGGTCACAGCCTGCATCCTGCATTGACCGTCCATCTAGGAGATCGCCACTTTGGAGCTGTGGCTGCAGGGAACTGATCTTCTGGCCCTTGCATGCTGCGACTTGACTGTGTTGTGTTCCAGTGGCTTTTCTCAAAATCACTGTAGATTTATTGGGTTAGGTTACCTTACCTTTTATGTTCCACGTTGGTGTCATTTGTCGCGTGGCAATCCAAGAGTTAACTGTGTGTGATTTTAATTAGCTTCAATGGTATTTTGGTCTGTGTTGCTTTAGAGTGAATTCGTGATAAATGTAATTCAGTGCTAGCCTGTGACTTATAAATACTGTAAATTTGTGTAGATAAGAGATTAAGTTAGGAATGTGGACCTCAGTATTTTTTAAATTATTTAAGGGAAGACTTTTCTATCAGAATTTGGACTTTGTGGATTAATCTGTTTTTACAGCTTGAGTCATAGACCTGTTGCTGCCTGTGTGTTTAAATGTGGAAGAATTCTAAAACTGTCCATTTCTCTTCTCAGTTTACACAAAAGTCAGTCCTTGTCTCTTTCTGAAAAGACTTTCCTTTTAAGGCTTCCTCACGGCCATGCAGGGGCAAGTATTTCTCACACACACATCTGTTATTGTAGACTCTGGGCTCAAGTTCCAGAAATCTGAACCCTTGGAAGCATCGGTGAGGTTTCCCACGTTCTGTCTTAAGAAAACAGGCTCTGCCAACTGGCGCATCCCTTTGGAGACAGCACTCTCCCTGCCGATCTTCTCTCATACCCTAACAGATCCCAGAAGATCAGAGTTTCTTTTTTCCCCATTAAATGTGAAAAGTGAGTGCTGTGGTCATCACAAAAGTAAAATAAACAGACTCCAGCATAGCCGTGAGCCCTTTTCTCAGTCCTGCAGTGTTCGATGCTGACGCACGTTCTTATTCTGGAACCTGGCTTGGGTTTGCTGTCCAGGTCACCCGGCCATGCCACCAGCATCTGCAGTCCTTCGAGGCAATACAGTCTGGTGGTGCAAATCCCTGACTTGCCTTTTTTCACTGCCATTCTTTCGTGTTCTTAGGCCATGGATTTTTTTTTTTAAAGATTTATTTATTTATGACAGACATAGAGAAAGAGGCAGAGACACAGGCAGAGGGAGAAGCAGGCTCCATGCCGGGAGCCCGATGTAGGACTCGATCCCAGGACTCCAGGACCACGCCCTGGGCCAAAGGCAGGCGCCAAACCGCCAAGCCGCCCAGGGATCCCCTAGGCCATGGATTTTAAAAGCAGTTGTCTTGTTTTGCTTGCGCCACCATGACAAAACCCCACAGACAAGGCTCACAGTTCCTCACAGTTCTGGAGATAGCAGTCAGATCAGAGTGCTAGCTAGCAAGGTACAGTTCTGGGGAGGGTCCTCTTCCTGCTGTGGTAGCCACTTTCTCACCATGTCCTTAGGATGAGAGAGAGCCAGAGCAAGCTTTCTGGTGTCTTAACAAGAACACTAATCCCAGCAGAGGGCCCACCCTCATGACCTCAGCCAACACCAGCTCCAGTTACTATTATATTGGGGGTTAAAGCTTTAGTCTAAATTTTGGGGGACACAGTCCAAGCAGAAGGTTTGGGTTATTTTTGTTTAAAGGTAGAAGAATATCCAGAATTTGAAGTCTTGGGCTAGAAGGAAGGGGGGATGGTCTTGTGGTCACAATTCTCCTGCTATTAGAAGGTAGAACTGGGCCAGAGAGGTCCCATGACCCATGGGACCCCATCATGTCCTGTGATGTGACAAAATTCTAATTATAAGGTGACAGTGAGCCTTCTGATTGGCTGCCTCGAGGCAGGTCTGACTGCCCCATAAACACATTGTTTACAAGGCAAGGATTCATGAGAGGGTCCAGGTTTGGAGACACGGGTGAGCAGAAGGGGACCCTGCCAACTGAACAACAGGTTCTCAAGGAATGCTGAGAACAGTGGGACACCTGGACGTCTGCCTGAACCTTTGGATGGTTGAAGGGGATGGCATGTGTACATCTCCATCTTTCAAACAAGGAGACTGCTGGCATAGACCAGACAGCTTCTGGGGCCTGAGTTCCAATGACAGAGCCAGTTCTGAGCCAAAGGCTGGACCTCGAGACCCCTGCCCAGCATCTGCGGTCCTGCTGTAGCTTCTGGGTTTCTCCAGAGTGGACCCCATGGAAAGTATGGCACCAATGTCCAAGAACTCCTCATAAAAAAATCTAGGCATGTCTCTTTGGAGGAGGGGGTCCTGGAGCTTTAGCACTCAATTGAATCACATGGAAATGCTAATGTGCATTCCCATTCACAAAAATGGGAACTTTGTATTCAACCTAAGTCATTAAATTTCCAAACAGAACAGACCAGGCAGTGGGCTGACTGCATATCATCAGCACATTGTGATATCAGTGTTCAGACCACATGGAGCTGACAGCCAGTGGCCCCTTCCTAGAGTGACCCTCTGCTGTCACCTTATCTGTTGTCACGGGGCCTTCGGATAGAGCCTGCCCTCCTGCGGTCCAACTGGTGGACTTCAGGTCAGGGTGCCCCTCCCCATCCACTGAGGCACCCCACTTGGGCTCCACACCATCTGGACATGTGTGCCCTGTGGACCAGAGGCTGAGCCAAGGCTCTCTGTGAGCCCAGCACTGTCCAGGAGGTGGGGATTGAGACCACCGAACGGGTTTTTATGGGGGATTGAGGATGCAGGACGGCTGACTGCTCCCAGCCAAGCCAGTATCCTTCTCTTAGTTGCCATCAGAGCCCACTGGCAGGGCATTGAGGCCAGACAGGGCAGGGGGCATCCAGAACCCCCTCAGGTGGTGCGCCCCTCCTCGCGCAGGGTTCTGGTCCTGCCCCTCCCTCCCCCAAGACCAACATGGAGAGCAGGTGTCTGGAGAGAGAACATGGGCCGTCAGAGGACCGGGATCACGTGCTGGCGCCTGCATTCAGTCCTGGCTACAGCCCCTTCACATTCCCAAGAATGGAGGAAAAGACGGGGCCTAGACCCTGCGTGCTGTGGCCAAGGTCCCATGGCTAGAAAATGGGAGAAACTGGAGAAACATTGGCAGTAACAGGATGAATCTATGAAGAATCTTGTCAAGAAAGAAAAGCCTATCCCAAAAGATTGCCTACCGGGTACTTCCATTTCCAATGATATTCTTGGACGGTCACGGTTATAGACATGGAGGACAGATGAGCACTGCCAGGGGTCAAGGAGGGGAGGTGGGAGGGAGACAGAGGTGGCTCTCCTGGGGGTGGAACTGCCCGGCATC